ATCAGAATTCAAAGCTAATTGCATATTAAATTATTTAGTTTAATGTGAGGAAGTCCAAAAAGGGCATTGATAGCAACTGGCAGCCAGGATTCCCTTGGTTCGTACTTCAACTACCAGAAAAGCAGATGGACGACCACAATGAGGCAATTGTTTAGCCTTCATCAGGCTACATCCTCCTAACAACGATGAACAATTCAATTCAATATATTGAGAGTCAATTTCTTATGTTGCCATGTTCCTCCTCTGAACCACCCAAAGCCCACCCATTTAAGCCGTCTGGAGATGCTGCAGCCACATCCTTCCCACTCCCAACTTCTGTCTGTCATGTTTGTTTGCCCGTTGTCAAGTGTTTCATATGCTTGTCAAATATATATCTATATATATATTGGCAACACTTGCCGCAGCTGCTTTCCAGATACGACTCAGTATACATAAAAATATATAAATCAGTCCGGAGAGCTTGTCCAGGACACTTGTTGTCAATGAAAGATGTTCGAGTACCGATTTCATACTTTCCACTCCAAAAAAACTACTTGAAACTCAAGTAAGAGATTACCTCGCCCCCGCTCAAATAAATGTTTATTGCATTCTATTAGCCATATCTAAATGGGAATCTGAGTGATTTTTTTATGACCCTTCTCTCTAATCACCATCAAAAATGCCTCAAATAACATGCTCAGACGGCACAAGCACCCTCCAGCACTCGGAAAATATGGATGTAAAAGCCAGAAAAAATAATTGTTCTGGCAGTTGGAGGGAAGGGGATGGAGGAAAAAAACACAATCAAGGACCACATGTTAGGCTGCCAGGACAACGACCGCACATGTGTCTGTGTTGGAACACGTTTAAGTGGCCCAAAGAACAACAATGGAGGCCGAAACGCGCGAGTGTCTGGAAAACAAATTAACAAAGTTCACAGGAGGCAGGAAAAATATATACAAAGCAAAGGAGATCATGCCAAAAAGGATATGTTTCTATATATTTAGAGACACTCTTATCTAGACTCCACTTGGACATGGCAATTCAATCAGTGGAAAACCGACAACTGACTGCTGGAAACCCTCAAAACATATTTGCCAAATCAAAAATTGCACTCTGCTGTCACACACAACCATCTCCCCCCATTGCAGTCACATCTCCACTCGACTACAATAAATTCGATTTTGCAACTCGTTGCACATCCCTCCCTCCATTCCCCCTCCCTTCGCAAATTCAAATGGTTACGAAACTTTTAGCAAAAACCATAAAAAATATATATACAGAAATGGAGACAGAAGCGTATCAACAACAAAATTGTTTAGTGACTTTTGCCAGAGATGAAAAATAATTGAAAAAAAGGGTGTGTGTGTGTGTTTGTGGCGAACAAGAAATAAAATCAGAAAACACCAAATCGAAACGGAACAGTTGCAAAAAAAAAAAAGAAATAAAACTTTGGGTGGCAAGGCAAATGTTGTGCCAAGAGCAATATGGTATTGTCCCGAAACCGAATGAGATTGATGGCCACGGTCGCGCAAAGGCAAAACTAAATGTTCAGTGGGAAGTGAGAGTCCTTCGAAAGCTTTCAAATAAGCGAAATTGCTTGTACGGTTCCTGCTCGGACACTTGACCCTGACCTTAGGCACATTTTCACACGGCCAGAAACACACACATAAGGAAATGGAGGAAAAAATGAGGAGACTGTGGTGCTGCCATTGGCAGGACTCCAAAAAAAGGCTTATACGAGTCACAAATGCTCTTCCAAAGAGCTGGGATGAAATTGTGGTTAAGTTGGTTTAAAAGGAATTAAATATTTTCTTTGAAAGAAATCGTTTTACATATCTGATATAATTGGTAAGCAATTTAAATAAATAGTTCAAAGTAAAGAAGATAAATAATAAATTATCTTATTATACCAATTTAATATACATTAACTTAATTGTAAAATATAATACTATTATATACATTGTAAAATGCTAGGCCATCAATAAACGCAACATATAGAAAATAAAATGATAATACATCACAGGTTTTTGTATTAATAATTTGGAATCATACTTTTGTACGCTAAATTAACAAAAACTTCAATCAAATCAATGTTTTAAAACAGATTTCCTTATATTTTCCCTTTATATAGATATATTCAAATTAATATAATTAGTCTGAATTTACTAAAAGTGCCTTATTGTTAACATGTTTTATCATTAAATGATTCCCAATACTCCATCTAATATACAATTATTTTTTACATTATAACATAGTTCTCTGTTTTTTTAAAAACTTCCACTTCTACCGAAAACACCTTCGCAAAAATGTATCAAAAACCACGTTCTAAAAGTATACAAACTTGGCTGGCAAAACATTGTCTTCGCTAAGCTGTCATGTCTCAGGGAAAAACATGAAGGAAAAGCGGCTATAAAGCAGTGGAAAGCCCCGAATTGTGTGAGCCGCACATAACTTCATCAAGTTTCGCCTAACTCAGTGGCTCCGATAGGGAAAACTACCTCGGGCTAGGGGAGCCTAACACGAGAAGAAGAAAAGCATACGCCACACATGATGCTCCTTCCCACACACTCATAAAGTACAGCACAAATTTTTGCTCTTGGCCTGCCCAAAACACACACGCACACACAGAGGGCATTATTACATTTTTCACGCCAATAAAAACAAATACAAAAAAAAGGAATAGAGGAAAAGTTGGCCCTGCTGATCATCAACTGCCTAAGCTTTTCAATGGCAGAAGTTCCCAGGGTTCGTTTTTCCATTCTTTCTTTCTCTTTTCCCTTTTTTTGTTGGCAATTTCCGCTTTTCAGGGTTTGACTTGGTCACTCACGAAAATTACTGAAATTGTATATCCGTTTCCGGTTGAAGTTGGTTCGGTTTTTTGGCCATCCTGTCGCCCCCGATTTTTGACAGGCATATCGAGTTATTTATTGGCACATTTGGCCCTGCCGTCCACCAGCAAAAATAGTTGCGACATAATTTATGGCGCATCGCGTATACGCCGCATTGCACATACATCTCTTTGTGTAAGTGTGTGTCCTGAAATGAAAATTATGACCGTATTCGAGAATTGGAAACATGAGTTTCGAGTTCCATTGGCACGGGCATTTTTCATTCGATACACTTGTTTGTGTATCCCGACCGATGTTGTAATCCCCTTAAGCCCACACAAGTCAATTTACGGAGGCATCGACCATCGAACAACGAACTTGTGGAACAATTGTCGAAGCAATCACCAGGCAAATTGTCAAAAGCAACAAATCTCTGCCGCAGGACTCGAGCACTGCAAGAAAATTATACAGTTTTTAGAGCTCTAGAAATCCTAAAAGTATAAATAAAATCTACTTAAAAATAAGACAAAATTACATAATAATATTTTACTTCAATTCATCTACATGAAAACCATCTATAAATTTTAATGTCCCCTCACTCAGTTTAAAATTCTTTCTGATATTCGAATTTTTCCCGGTGCTACCAATAGTAATTTCCTCAAAATGGTTACCAATTTCATTCGAATGCATCACTTGACCGAATAAAGGCCAAGATAGCAGTTAAGTGGCAACTTTTCTTCCGGTCGGGCTGTACTGGCCAGGAGGTTTGGTAAGAGTATTAAGGGTTTCTGTAATCATTACGACAAATTGCCGGGGCCAGGGGCAATAATGATTAATAATGAGGCAGCTGCAGTTTCTCCTCCGCCGCAGACCGCCGTTGAGATGGCCAAAGTTTGTGCCTGCCGCTTGTGGCTTTATTAAAATAAATAACTGAGGTTAAGGCAGTTAAGGCGCAGGTAAACTCGACCCTTGCCTGCTGCTCCTGTGGCTTCCGGTTCCGTTATGAATAATAAACTTGGCGCGACTCAAAGTTTAACGATGCTCGGGGCAAAGTTATATAATTTGTCTAATTAAAAGTTTTCCTGATTAACCTGGCAGCCACAAGCAACAAGGTCGCTTACCAAGTGCAGCCGCCAGCCGGTAAAGTGAGAGACAATACAACAAATGTAGCTAGCAATGCAAACTGGTGGCTATTTGGCGGTAAATTCGACTTCCAAGTAGGGGAAAATAGTCGCAGTTTGGCAACATTTATTTTGGGGGGTTTCCCATGAAATTGACCCGAAATCCAGGGACTTGCGCTCGGTCGCTCGGTCACATTTCAGGCACACACATCAACCTAATGCACATTGTTTTCTAGCTTTCTCGTTTTTGTTGTGGCATTCTGTGTGCATTTTATTGCAAAACTTTCTCCACCCAATGTCCTGTGGAGTTGTCATGTGGGTTTCACCCAGGAATTTGTTGCAAACTATGGCAACCAAGAGAGAAGGAAGCGGGTTAGCCTCCCACTACAAGGATACATATTTTAAAGAATCTTTGAAGTTTACCTATAAAAAGTATATTGGTTATATTATTATTATAGAGGAGCTATTTATTATATACGTATATATATTTTTATTTATTCTTATTTAAAATATTTTGAAACCTTTTATTAATAATTATATATTTTATTTGCTTTTTAATTTTATAACAAAAACAACTAGCACTTAGTTACGCCTTAGTTATTACATGATTTTTAATCACGTGATTTTTATTCGCATCAAGATACATGTTAAAAGCAAACTTAAACAATAACCTGTGCTACAGTTTACACTTGATAAAGTTTAATCCCTTTGGAACTTAACTTTTACCGGTCATAATAAAGTATATTAACCTTTCAACTACCTAAAAAGATATAACAACTTATTCATATCCTCCTGGCTATATTGAAATTTACCAAAATAAAAATGTTGTAACAAAAAAATACATTTATGTTGATAACCATCCTAATTTGTTAATTTTATAATTTATTTAAGTGTCTTAAACATTGCAATGTTGCAATTAGTACAACGCGAAATGAGTATGTTAAAAATGGTAGTTCAAACAGATTTTAAGGTTAATTAACCATGATAAATCGTTTATAATTAGGGTCTTTAAAGTAGAGCTTGGGTTTAACCAAAAACCGATTTCAACCGGGTTTATTCAATCGGAAACATGCGTAGTGGCCTCATAGTCGGAATAATCTGGGTTTTTATTTGGCCCAGAATCGTACATGGAGGATTCGTTCTAAAGAATGTGATTTGTGAGTCCTTGGATACCTCATACGCGGAGTTCAAGCGTTGCGAAATGAAAATAGTGCGGCGTGGCGTATCCTCTTTTTACATGTTTGTAAAAGTTCACAAACTGCCCATCAATAGTGTGGATGTAAATGTATCCCTCTTCAAGAGATCGAACGGATATCGGCCTTTCCTGTTCAATCAGACCGTGGATTACTGTTACTACATGCGAAACCCGAAGGCACATCGATTGATGTATACACTGCACAAGGTTATGTTTAAAAAACCAACATGAATCATTCGTGTCCCTTTGATGTAAGTATTTCCCGAATACAAAAACCAAACCAAACTATATTATATATCATTCATTTTCAGCACGATTTAAAAGTTGATAACTTTACGTATGATCAAAACGACATGATGGACTTGCCCTTGCCAAGTGGAGATTATATGGTTCAAATTATACTCGGAACTTACAAAATTTGGCGTGGAATTATAAAAGTTTATTTAAAAAAAATGTAACAAAAATAATAAATAAATAAATATATTTTAAAGTATATTTGTATAATTTTTATGATTCACTCTGGCAGCAGTGATTACAAATGCACATTAATTACATTATAAAGTTAAGTTAATTACTCGGGCGATCATCAGTGAGCTTGATTGAGTTATAATATCCCAGAGTTGAACACTGCGAATAAAATCAAAATTGTCACTTTAAGCGCAGCATTCAACATGAGATTATTGGAAATTTTAACAATGCTCCTGACTGCTTTGTGTCCTTGCCTGCGAGCGGCCCATTTCCGGTTTACCAACGTCGAATGCAAGAGCTTGGACACTGATTTTGTGGAGGTGAAGGAGTGTAACCTGAAGTTAATTCGACGAAATGTCGTTGCCATGAACTCTCACCTGGTGATCAAGTATGGACCGCCCATCGATAAGATACAGTTTAATCTGGCGATATTCCGCAAATCGAATGTGTACAGATTGTTTATGGTGAATCATACGTTGGACTTTTGCTACTACATGCGAAGGCCAAAGCAATATCCACTTTTCTACATCTTCCACGAGTCTCTGATGGCGGCCACCAATGCCAATCACACGTGTCCCTATCCAGTGGGTATATCTTTAGGTATAAGTAATAATTTAATAATCTGATTCTGTGTTTAGGAAAAGGATATTTATATTAGGAAGATGACATTCAATGAGCGGGCCGTGCGAGAGATGCCTTTTCCCGAAGGAGAATACAAACTGACAGTCTCTGTGGGTGCATTTAATGTCTGGCGATTGCGGTTCAACGTGTACGGTCTGCGTAGCTAGTTTATAAGGGTTATTAAAATAAAGACCCCATTTTAAGCACGGCATACATTTTAAACAAATATCCATTTCAATTAACCGAAAATAAGCCAGCCGTTAAAAATAGCTCCAAAGCTGAAGCCAAGCCAGGCAAACAATAATAGTTCAATAATTCCCATTGATGCGGCAACATGAAAGATCAACTTTGGAGCCTACTTCTATCCGTTTTAGCCATTTTGGGTTCAAGCCAGGGGAAAGTTTTCAGAGTTAGCAAAATGGAGTGCCGAACCCTTGATCCTTCGTTTACTTATTTCAAGACCTGCAAAGTGGTTCGTGGGGAGAACGGACGAGCTTCCTTGTACATCAACGAGGTGATGCTCTACAAGCAGCCCATCGATGACATCATCGTGAGTTCGCCAATTAAAGATTTTTCTGTATTTAAAAAATTACAATAATAATTCCAGCTTAATCTTGCAATTTTTAAAATATCAAAAAACCGACGATTCCAATTCTTAAACGAGACCTTGGACTACTGTCTTTTTAGCCGGCAAATGTTGGCCACTGGGTTCTTCCGTTTCCTGATGGCTCCCGTGCTGGGGACTTCGAATTTGAATGTTACGTGCCCTGTGCAGGTAAGAGAATAGCTTTGCTTAACTGTATTTTCTCTTTAACTTTAAGGAAAACCCCACAGCAAGACCTAGTTTTCAATGGTTTTTCCGTTGATGAGAACACAGTAAAGGAAATTCCAATTCCGAATGGCGTCTATCTGTTTCAAATGCGATCGGCCATGATGAAAAAATGGCGAACGGATGTCAAGGTCTATGCCACTCGAGTTGATAGGTATTCGTAGGAATTGTACAAATCAAATAATTTTATTCTTTTATAATATGTGTGTGAACAATATTATCGTTTTTTCTTTATTTAATAAAATTATATAAATAAATTGTTTCACATCACTTAAGGGATATAAAGTTTTTAGCTAGTTTCAGAACCGCGGTTTGGTGCACGAATACAACGTCAGTTCGAACTTAAGTTCATTCGACGATTTAATTTAGCAAAGCTCCCCAATTTTTACCCACGTCAATTACCATTTTGGAATTTAAAATGCGCTAAAGGTTTTTATTTTAATTGCTGTGTTAGACAATTTTAAAATTTAAGCGTTTTTTATCACCACTCAGCAAAATAGTGATGAGGGTATCACGATAGAAAAGAGTTGTCAAATATCGGTATAGCGCCATCGATGATTTGGTAAAGTGTGACCGAAACATATGCCCTGCAAAAATGACGAAAAACTAGTGAAACTAGCGGTCACCCTTCGAAACGTAAGCTAAATTGGCCACACTTCTCTCTTTTGACTTAGACTTCAGCAAGAACGTACGTACAATAATATCAGCTTCCTAAAAAAATAAAAAAATTCCTGTAAATAAGCTATATAAACTTAAAATAAAAACTATTGAGGCTAAAGAAATAAACAGCAAATTGAATAAAATGAATTCAAGAAATAAATCTTTAAAGATGCCGGCGTTCAACTGCGATTACCAATTTAACCCCACTTTTTCTGTTGCAGTGCTGGGTTAACTAGTGAGAACCATGGTGAACGGCCGCATCCCCTCGGTCTTTTCGAAGACCTATGTGACTCCCCGTCGCCCCTATGAAAAGGCGCGTCTGGACCAGGAGCTGAAAATCATCGGCGAGTATGGTCTTCGCAACAAGCGTGAGGTGTGGCGCGTCAAGTACGCCCTGGCTAAAATCCGTAAGGCTGCTCGTGAGCTGCTGACCCTTGACGAGAAGGATGAGAAGCGTCTATTCCAAGGTGAGTTGACAGTGATAGATGCCGCAGTCGAATTTTTATAAGACGAACCATGTGAATCCAGTAATACTAGGCTGTTCCGTAAGCACGTGTTACCTTATAATTTGTATCAATACCTTTGGGGCCTTATGGCGGTTCGACTGTTCCGGCAAACACTGACATGATGAACTGTATTTAAAACAATAATCTGACACTTCTTGTCTGAAAAAACCTTGACGTTAACAAATACACACTGAAGATAGCTTCATTGTTAGTTCAGAGTAAACCTGTTAAAATATCTATTAATTGCGTTTTTATTAAACCCTCAGGTAACGCGCTGCTTCGTCGCTTGGTCCGCATCGGCGTCTTGGACGAGTCCCGCATGAAGCTCGATTACGTGCTGGGCCTTAAAATTGAGGACTTCTTGGAGCGCCGTCTGCAGACCCAGGTGTTTAAGCTAGGATTGGCCAAGTCAATCCATCATGCTCGTGTGTTGATCCGCCAGCGTCACATTCGGTAAATATCGCTTAACGAGCGACTACAGCGTCGCCAGGCTCAGAAAACACTACATTGTTCAGTAAGACCACTTGGGAGTCGAACAAGCTCTATTGCTTGCACCGGCTCTCAACGTCTTGAGATTGCGTATGTGACTCTGTTCACTCCAATCGTATGTGCAAATGACTGCATGAGCGTAAGTTGCACTGAACGTTTTTAGGTCCAACGCTTGCAGCCACCGAGTGCTGGTCCCTTAACTCGAGTTTAACTAATCCAAATTGTATTTTCCTTTTCACAGTGTGCGCAAGCAGGTGGTTAATATTCCATCGTTCGTGGTGCGCTTGGACTCGCAGAAGCACATTGACTTCTCCCTGAAGTCGCCCTTCGGCGGCGGCCGCCCTGGCCGCGTTAAGAGGAAGAACCTGAAGAAGAACCAGGGAGGTAGCGGTGCTGCTGCCGAAGAGGAGGAAGATTAAGCAGTCGTAACCAGCTGCAGCCGGATAACCAAAAGGCTCAGTGGTCTTCGGAAACTGTATTTATCTGTTTTACACGCAAATAAACAAAACAAAACATCTTAATTATTGCTGTTTATTTATGATATAATTTTATCCGCTGGTGGAATATATATAGAAAATGCATTATATGTCTAGGGCCAAAATATGCTATTTAAAGAATCCCAGAATGAACTTGGCATTGAGCAAATGTGTATGTTTGGGTTTGGTTAAGCAAAATTAGATTTATTTTCTTATACCTCGAAACCTATATTAAAAATTGTATGTACAGGTGAAGAATTTATGGGTTCATTTTGAAACTATAACCTTTTGTACATAGTAAAATATTAAATTTGAACCATTCTTTATTTGAACGATAGTTAAATTTATCGAATCGATAAAGGGCCGTTAAAGTTCCTGAATGCAAAGCCAGGGTTGATGTTCCAAGTTTTATCGAGAAAAACAGCTGTTCCGGTTATTTGTTGGTTTGCTAATTATGCACACAAAGAGAGCGCGGGGTAAAAACTTTTCCGATTCAGAGGAACATATTCTGCTGGATCTGTTAAAACAGCACAATGCCGTTCTGCAGATCAAGAAAAGCGATGCCGTCACTTGGCAAAAGAAAAAAGAGACGTGGGAATACATTGCTGTGGAGTTTGCGGACCGAACGGGTGTCAGCCGGCCCTGGACAGCTCTCCGGGACAAATACGACAATATGAAACGGAAATCTCGGAATGATATTGAGCCCGAAAGAAGAAAAACCATCGGCGGCACTCCTTCCTTCTCCGGATCGTCGTTGTCGGAAAAAGTGGGCGACCTCACTGGAATAACCGGAGGAGCTGGGCTGGAAAACCAGTTTGACAGTGATGGTATAAGAAACCTTGAGATATATGCTTAACCAACATATTAACCTTATTTTTTATTTCTAGGGAATTACCAATTAGTCAATAAAGCCGAGGAAGGATCAGAGGAAGCCAGCAGCACGCGCTTATCTCAGAGTCCTCATCAGGTAGAGTAAGATGGGACTTTCTTTTGAAATATTTGTATTCTAATAGTTTTTCTACATTTTAAAGTCACAAATCCAGGGTACCACGGAACCAAAGATCGAAGCTCCAGAGAACGAGAGCCCGGAGGAGTTTCCAATATGGTCACCAACACGGCTTAGGCCGTGCGAACACCCCATACTGCCGGATCTTAGAGGGAAAACTAGTCTGGAGGAGGAGAAGGTGGAATTGGTTAAACTGCAACAGGAATATTATAGAGATGAGAATGCCAGAGCTGCTGAGAAACACAAATATGAGATAGAAAAGCAGGTTGTTGAACTGCAAACAATGCGATTAAGGAACCAATTGATAGAAATTGAAATTGAGGCTAAACGCGAAGAGCTGGCGAAGAAAAAGAAAATTTCTTAACCCTGGGAACATAATTTGTGTTCTAAGTTAACTATAATATTTTAATAATAATTATTTAGTTTATCGCAAGAAAGGGAATTTAAAAAGACTTCCTTTTGTTAAGCTAAGCTAACCGTTTTCGATTACCTTGCGAGCCAACCATTAAATCTGTAGATCCTAAGATTGTTCTGTAAAATGACTGATAGGTTTGTTTAGCTAAACTATATATTCCAAATAAAAATACAAACTAAAGTGTCTTATAACTGCAGCAGATAAATTTGCAACATCTCCGCGTCAATGGGTTAAAAACGCTTTTAAACTTTTGATTTCTCGCAAGCTGGTCACATCATTCGATCCCGGAATTTCTGCTTGCGCAGTTTTCAAGATCGTTGAAAAAACAATCGCGAGCGGCCCAGTGTGACCGGGTTTCGGCAAATGAACGCGAATTGTGCCATTACGGTGCTGGGTCAGCTGGGTTTGTTTACAATGGAAACGTAAAACAAAAGTTTGCAAACTGACAAGAAAGTAAAAAAACAGTATAAACTGCAGCAGATTACTGGTAATAACCAGTTGAGTGCCTTAAAACCATAACGGCCCGTCACCGCGTAGCCAGCACAATGCGAACGGACGTTGTGTGGAACTATTCGATCATCTTTCTTTGCTGCGTGCTGAAAAACATTGGCACCTTGGCCGAAGACGCACGTACAGCCTCGAATCGCTACAACTCGCAGCAGCAACAGTCGCAGTTCAAGCAGCACACAAATGTGGCTCCATATCATCCGTCGGACGATGCTGGTGCCCAGCATCACCACCACCATGCACACGACGCGACTGGCAGCGGCGGCGGAGGACATCACCTTGACCACCATTTGCATCGGAGTTCGTACAATCTGCTGAGCGAGGCCATGTCACAGGCGGTGAGCAATGAGTTTAGCTCGGCCATGGGCAGCGGCTCGGCGGACGGGGCATGCGGTGCTGACGAGCTGGACTGTCACCACGGCAGCAGCAGCACCCAGGATCGTTTTGGGATGGAGGCCATTGCCAGTTTACATCGCCAGCTCGATGATGACGACAACGGTAACATCGACCTCAGCGAATCGGATGATTTTCTGCGCGAGGAGCTAAAGTATGACTCTGGCTACGAGAAGCGGCAGAAGGCCTTCCATTTCAATGATGACATGCACATATCGGTCAAGGAGCTGTGGGAGGCCTGGCTGCGCTCAGAGGTGCACAACTGGACCATCGAGCAGACCACGGACTGGCTAGCCCAGTCCGTACAGCTGCCCCAGTATGTGGAGCTCTTCAAGCTGCATAAAGTCACTGGTGCTGCGCTGCCCCGGCTGGCCGTGAACAATCTGCAGTATGTGGGCAATGTCCTGGGCATCAAGGATCCCATACACAAGCAGAAAATCTCATTGAAAGCCATGGACGTGGTGCTCTTTGGTCCGCCCCGTGACAATGGCAACCGCTGGAAGGACTACATCCTGGTCACCCTGCTGCTGAGTGCTATTATTGGCTGCTGGTATGCATATCAACAGAATAAAAATGCCAAGCGCCATTTGCGCCGCATGGCCCAGGACATGGAAGGCTTGCACCGCGCCGAGCAGAGCCTGCAAGAAATGCAGAAGGAGCTGGAGCTGGCCCGCATGGAACAGGAGAATGTGGCCACCGAAAAACTCGACTTGGAGCGACGCCTCAAGGAAGCTCCCACACTCAGTTCATCGAACTCCGACCTGGAGGTGCAGCAACTCAAGCAGGAAATCGAGATGCTGCGCAACGAACTGTCGCGGGCCGAAATGGAGTTGGTGGACAACTGCTGGACTCCGCCTCCTCAGCTGCAGTCGTGGCTCCAGTATACATACGAACTCGAAAATAGGAATCATCAGAAGAAGCGGGCCTCGGCCGAGAAGCAGCTCCAGTCGGCGAGGGAGGCTTGTGAGAAACTGCGAAAGAAGCGATCGAGCCTGGTGGGTGCCTTTGTTTCCACACACGGCAAGAGTATCGATGACGTTGATCGGTCCATTGTCGAGGCACGCAATTCGCTGGGCGAGGTGACTAACGAGTTGCAGGAACGACTCCATCGCTGGAAGCAAATCGAGACCTGCCTCGGCCTGAACATTGTTAACAACAACGGGTTGCCTTATTTGGAGAATGTACTTTATGGCCGCAACGTGGGCTTGCAGAGCTCCATGGGATCTAATTCCGCCAAGGGCTCGCGTACCCGGATTACCAACAGCACCGACGATCTGGACGATGAGTCTGTGCAAGGTAAGCTGAGTTTCGAGAACTTTTCTCTGCTTGCCACGGAGTAGGCCGCTGCTTCGTTCGGTTGTTCCTCACAGACAATACAACACAGTTCTTCCACAGAAGCCTTCTTCTAATTGACTTAAATCGACTCTGACGGATTAAGCAGCTGCATCATTGACCTTTATGTATTGAATCCCGAATAAAATCTTTTAAACAATTAGGTACTGTATTAATAGAGGTCAAAATTAACCTTATGTATATTAATAAAATTTGTAACCTTTATATTTGTAATATATCCTTTTTAATTTTGAAGAATAAAAAAAAACGATAAAAAAAAGAGAATAGTTTTAAGTAGTTTTATTAACGCATGTATACAGGTACTAGATTAACCCTACTAAAAGATTGTTGATTTCGATTGTTGAACTAATTACTTCTTTATCTTAAAAAGATAACTGCATGAAATTTTTGGGTACCTTTCGCATTGTTCTGTTTGTATTTGTTTATTCTAGTCAATATTGTATATTCCCTTATCTTTTAAGTAGAATCTCCAATAAGCAATTATTCATGTTTACATATATGTATATGTACATACATAGAAACAAATCTACGTAGCTTCATAACAACAATGTGGAAGAATTCGCATGACTAATGTTTCTTACAATAATTAGATAACATTGTTTATTTCAGTTCTACAAAAATGACCAAATTCAGGTAAAAATAGGAATAATATCTCTAAATAATTACAAATAAGAGAAAGTACTTTTTTTTAAATGGTGAATAATAAAGCCCATCTTAAATGTTGAACTTTGTGTTTTAACAAAATAAGTATCAGTATAATTTAATTAAAATCTCTAGATTACCTAACGATTGAACTCTAGACCTTTTAAAACGCTTGATTTTTTATAGAAAACTTAACTAATTTTTTAAACCTTGGAATGAAGTGTGACCAGATGGGAAGGCTTGCTAAAAAACTCCCACTAAGCATGTGACGTATGTTATTTTCGGAGCTTTATCGATAAAACCGCCCATCAAATTGCCATTCTCACAAAACCGGGCTTTCAAAAAAAGTCACTCTTCGCATAAACAACAGAAAACAGGCAGGGAGAAGCTAACAGCTGAAACCAAATCAAATCATAAGTTGTGGCGAATAAATAGCCGCAAAAATGCCGAAGGCCGGCGACAAGGCGAAGGTGAAGGTGAACGTCAAGGAACGGGTGGTGGACGAGTCCTGCGATCTAAGCCTCTCCGAGTTAAGCGAGATACCGGTGCGGGAGATTGTAAGTACAAGTGCAGCAGCGGCAGTAATTAGCACCCAGCTCCTGGGCCATCTCTGTCTGTAATAGGCCCCTCTCACTCCACCTTGGTGCCATGCCTCGTGTCTGGCGGATGTCTAGTCACCGGCTGTCTCGCTTTCGCAAACAGCAGGAGCGAGATGGGGCGAGCAAGCTCCACTTCCTCTCGGCCTCTCGCTTTCGTTGTTGTTCTGCCGGCTGGCTTGCAATTAACGCTGACTTCCTCTCGTCTCTCTTCTCTTCTGCCCCCACCTCCTGTGCTACCCCTTCACTCGAGTGTGTTTTTGAGTATGTGTGTGTGTGGTTGAAAATGCAACCGAAATTGCTCGAGGGGGTTGATTTTTGGTCTTTGCCACCCCTCAGCGACTCGGGAAGGTTGCCAAAAAAAAAAAAACGAAATAATTATTCGTTGAGTGTACGACTGTTTGATACCGTGTGATTGATTTTTAATTTCACCTAATTGCATTTTATGAACGCCTTTTAAACTTATTTAGGCCTTTGTGTTCTTTTCAATTTATAGAAATCGAAATAATAATTCTTTTGTAATGCATAAATAATAAAATAAATAAGTAAAGTACAAACAAGTAAAGTAAACATATACTCAGTAATTATTAACGTAGATAAACATAAATGTAAATTTTTATAAATTCTACAGACAATTAGTTCTCTGCATTGAGTTTTATTGACCTTAAATTATGGTTTTATTGCGATAAATGAAAAGCTGGTTAAATGCTATATTTAAACTATGTGAGATACAGTGTGATGATCGAAACGTTATAAATAACATTCTGAAATATAATTATTAACAGTTCACCCAAAACTCATTATACCCTTCAAGAAAATAATACAAGCGGTATAATATTTAAGAAAGGGATTTTTAGGGCAGCTACTTTTTCGGGGGTTTCTTTTTTCGGTCATGTTTTTGCCACTACCTCTCAGTCTCAGTTTGTCTTTGTGCTTCACAGGCTTCGTTCAAGCGCGTCACCGTTTTAGATCTGTCCAGCAATCGCCTGGTCAACCTGGGAGTAAGTATAGCCCATTGAAAAACACCAGTGAACACCTAGTAACACTTCTTACTAAATGTCATTTAGAAAAACTTCACCATACTAACGCGTTTGGTGCGGCTGGATCTGAGCAAGAATCAAATACGCTTCCTGCCTGAGGACTTTGGCCAGCTGGAGCAGCTGCGCCACTTGGACCTGTACAACAACTGCCTGGAGCACCTGCCCATTAGCTTTGGTCAGTTGCGTCGTTTGCGATACTTGGATCTGAAGGGGAATCCCCTGACGCCCGCCTGGGAGAAGATTGTGGGTCGCTGCTCAACGCAAAAGGACTGCCAACAGGCGGCCAAGAATACGGTAAGTGGCCCTTGAGTTAAGGGCTGGCTCTCGAGTGGCACAGCTTGGCTCATATTTTCGAAATCTAACGTTTTGCAATTTTCCCATTTTCCAGGTCAGCATCTGCGCCAACTACAAGCCGGAATTCATTGAACGCGAACGTTTGGCCGCACAGGAGACGTTGCAAATGGCGGGAGCTGGGGATGCAGGCTCTGTCCAGTCAAACGGCGGTGGGGCTGGTGGCAAGAAGTCACAAAAGCCCAACAATAAAAAAGCGAAATCCAAAAAACTTGCCGGAACTGGCGATAATGAGCTGACAATCAAACCGGTGAATGCCGGAGGTGGATCCTCGGCTTTAGGTGCAGTAGCTGGAGGGAAATCCAACCAGAAGAGCAATCAAAAGAAACGAAACTCCAACAAGGGCGGCTCCTGGGTGAACCTGCTCTCGAAAGCCGCTCTCTCGTCCCTGATGATGTTTCTCATCCTCTTCATCGTGAATGTGCTGATCATATACATGATTATGTTTAAGAATCCGGACATCGCCGACAAGCTTGTGGAGTATATACCGCACCAGTACCGTGATTGGATTCTAACCAAAACGGAAATCTTCCGGCTGCGCGTCACCGACTGGATCTCGGAGTTCCGAACGCCGCCCGAGGAGCACTGACGATTCATTTATTTGAAGCCTTAGGGCGCTGGGCTTCAAATAGAAGGAATCGATAAACAAAATTCGGATGCATAGCGCGTGTGTGGAGGCGGGACAATTTTTGGGATACGTGTAGACCACCTGAACCGAGTTATACGACTGCGACTTTGATATACCATTATGTGTAATATGCACTGCCATTTGATTTCATAGACTCTAAGAAAGTACGTCCATTGACAGGAGATTTACAAGAGATTTAAACAAGAGAACCGCGCACACTCTGCAGATGAAGACAACGCCACTCGAAAGACACCACTAACTACACTCAATCATTCAACTTAACTCAACTCAACTCAGATGAATCTTATCTATAGCTCAAGCTCAACTCAATAGTAACTGAATGGCAGTTCAAAACTGGCCAATGCATAGAAACTACAGACACAGTCAGAACAGGCATCCTCTTAATATATACATACTTATGTCCACATCTCTCAGATCGAATCGAATCAGCAACCACACCATATATAAAAAAAATAAATCTATTGTAAGAATATCTTGTGCAATTTTCCCTTTTATTATTTAAATCTCAAGCTCAAATAGTAGTCATGTTAGCCCCAACTATTGAACATTTTGTAGATTGAAAATCTCATAGTTTTTAAAGCGAAACTTTGGTTTATTCAAGCGGTTTCATATGATTTTATGTGAATTTTAAATAACTGAATTGTAAAAGAAGATTTTTGGAATAAAATTTTACCTTTTAATAAATAGTTCGGTTTTCCTTATTTTTTATTCTGAGTTTAAAAATATTTTTATTTCCAGGTCCCAACGTCCGTGAAGTCCAGAGATACGAGTAATTTATATTGATTATATAGGATGTCGGCTTTCAAATTCATTTCAAGTCCTCAGGAAATTGTTAATAAAACTAATTTCAATTATAGCCCCGTTCGAATTTATGCTTATCTACGAGAGTTGGTCAACTTGGTTATCTTATATTATATTTATGGCCCCCAGGGTAGGCACGCGAGTGTCCTTATCATTTATTTTTTTATTCCATATAAATATTAAACGCTCCGGCAATCTATTTATACTATGTGTTTTTGCATATTATTTGTTTTTTCCCCCTTTAGATTATAATAAATAACCAAGCAGAATTTGCGTTATTTAAAGCCTTTCTATAGGAACTCGATAAGGCTTGAAACCTAAAGGCAGGCTATTAATTAAAATAAATTTTTAGCTAAATATTTCTTAATAAATACTTTGTCGGTTGATTGTGATACAATCTAAGACAGTACTACACACTCTAACGGCACTCTCTCGTGAACTTTTATTTGGAATAGTAGAGTATAGTATATACATATTTTACTTATCTGAATGTTTTATAAATTGAAAGTAATTTTAAATCTGATAGTTTTCATTATATAATAGTACCTAGGCATAGTGGATATTGTCTGACTCTTCTCGTGTTCAAATTATAATTATCCCTTAAAGGGTATTTGTATTATTTTCTTCGGAATCATTATCCCTGTGTTGATTTCGGTGTCTCTACGTAATCACTTCATTCGCATATCGCAAATAATTGATAAATGACTTGCAGAAACAAACCGGTTCCGTGTGCCAAAGTGAATTTCATCAATAGAAAGTTGTAGAACGATGACGTAGGCATGTTAGGGTGGGAGGCAATTATTATTAGTAAACCATCGTGAGTAGGCAAAAGCTTGGATAAATAAATATTTACATATGTTCGTGCATTTGGTTCTTAGAATCTGAAACTACAGCCCAAAAAGCTGATGCAACGGCGCTTATCTATTTCTTGGCCGAAAGGATGTCGCCGCTCAGCCGTGTCTGCAATTTAAAGTTTCGTGTTCTCTCCAATAAAGATGAAGTTGAAAACATTTGCCACGCTTATGAAAACTCGACTTTAATTTCGTCAGCCAAAGAAGATGAAGAAGACCCCTTTCCCTCTCCCTCTCGGTCTCTCTTACTCGCTCTCACCGCTCTCCCTTAATTCAGCGCATCTTCGACGTTATCCTTTATCTCTTCAGAGTCCTTTTTCTTTCTTTCTTTTATCATAAAATCGACATCCTCTCTTGCCGGCTAATCATGGTTTTAGGTTCTCTTCAGCTCTTACATTTTCCCTGACCTCTCAGCAGTGTGGCGTATTTAGCCATAAAACACCCAAAATGGAAATAGAAGAAATTCGAGCTGAAACAGAAGGAGAAACTGGAGAATAGAAGCTAAAATGAAACCAAGTACAGGGAGATAAGACTATTAATTAGATACATATTTATTTAATGTTAATATTTGTACAATATTTATAATATCGAACTTAATTTTGAAACACGTTGAAAAGATCTTTAGAAAAATTTTTGTTTGATGTAAAAGATTGTTTGGCTAGTTTCGGAACATTTATGAATTATATAGGGTTCTTATATATTTGTTGCTAAATCGAAACTGAAACGGTTTTACCGCTATACACTATTTTTCTTTAATTTAAACTTAAATGTAACTAAAATCGCATATATTAATAAAAATAATAAAAAAATAATATTTTGGGACCTCTAAATTAAAATTAAAAAATGTTTTTTAATTAACCTTCCGTTATTTTAAAAAGAAATATCGCAGTCCGAAAACCGTCAGATCTAACAGCAATATAGCTAGATTCTAAGAGCGAGCCGGCTGCGTTTTTGGCGGGCTCTCTCGAGTCGCTCGCTGGGCGCGTATTTAAGTGAGCCGCCAGCCGCGCTCTTTACAGTTAATTTTTTGCCGTCGAGCAGTTCGCGGGAGCTTCCGATTTTTGGATTGAACTGTTGGCATTATATTTAGTAAAACAACACCTTTTCAAGGCAGGTGAAGTGATAGAATACGCGGCCGCTCGTGCAGTACAGTGCGGCGATAAAAGGAAGAGAAAAGTAAGCAATACAGTAAAATCAGCGGCGTTTTTGAAAACTGGAAACTACACTCGCAAGCCAAAGGCTCGATGGGGAAAGGAAGCGAAGAGGGCGAGGCGCCGACGAGCACATGGCTGAAAATTTGGGTTTCGTCTGAAAATAGCAGAGGCAGAAGTGCAGCCACATGTGTTATGTAGTTGAATAAATTCAAATCGAAGAACGAGAACATATATTTAACAAATCGGCATTGTCAAAAAGTGTTGTGTGTGGAAACCACAAAAAAGGCGGCTTCAGCGGACCAGAAATAGCGCCGCAGCCAGTGTCAATTATAACTGTATGTGCACACGACAATTAAACCCGAAACCTTTTCAAAGAACCAGACACATTTTCGACAGTTACAAAAACTAAAGCTTAAAGACAGGAAAAGAACGAAAGAAGCTAATAATAAACGTTCTTTATTTTCGGTTGGACACGCGTGCAGTGTGACGGCGACGTTAACGAATGCATACGTTGCACCTGTTCCGTTATTATTTGCATTGCTGGCAATTAAATTTAGTCTCTTTTTCGGTTCTGCTTTTCTTTGAAACATGAATGGGAAATTAGCATTTTCCCGAGTGCGCGCCTTTTTCTCCAATCACTCCACTGCAGTTAATGTTGTTTGTTTATGCGATAGTTCAATGGCTGCGTATAGGTTTCCCCCATTTGACTTGCTGATGTTCCACGTTTCGCGCCGCATTGCAATACGTAATTTAACAGTAATTGAGCACTTAGCCAAGGGAAAGTTCACTCAACAATGCCAGCGGACCGAAGACACAAAATATTTCTGTGTGCCGGAGAAGCACTCATTACTATCTAACCATCCGGCATCCGCTATCAAAGCCATCTCTGTTCCAAACACGTCAAATGTCAATGCAATTACCTCACACAACACCCACGCGGAAAAGTGCACCCACCCGTTGGAACACCCAGAGTCTAACTGACTCATCAAGGACATGGCCAAATGGCTGAATTCAGGCCAAAATGGGATGGGTGCACCGAAAGAAATCGAAACACTCGAGACTTCATATGGTACACGCAAAGAAATGGGTGCAAGTTCATAAACTTTTCTTCTAGATTTGTGGTTATAACAAAAATTATAACAACATTTTGCTATAAATTGTTTTCGTTCCCATTCCAATAATTAATTTTTTCTTTAAAAAATTTTCTTGACAACTTAAAATTTTTAATTACAATTTCTAAACTCGAAATATGTTTCCCGTGTCTAACTACTTTTCCAACTGAGGTGTGCCCGTCTGTCTTGTGCTCTATCTTTACCGTTAACCATTTTCCTTCATTACACGCGCATTTTGTAGTTGTGTTATTGATTTTGGTGCTATATTGTCGTTGTTGGTAATTAACATGGCAGAAAATTTACAAGGCAAAGCCAAAGACGCAGTAAAACTGTGACGTCAGAGATTGGAGTCCGAAGAAGGCAAGGCTACTGTGTAAAAAATAATGTAGAACTTTTACTAGGGGGGTTTTAGAGAGAGATAAAGAGAGATAAAGAAGAAGAACATACATAGAAAAGGGAGACAGCGTGGGCTGCAACTGTTGATTGCGTGGGAGCAGCTGCCCTTAAGACATTTGACATATTCCAAGAATAAATCTCATTTATGGCCTCGTTTGGGATTAGGGAATATATGTATATTTAGTCGGAAACCTATTTTAACAAGGTTTGAAAATGGTTTAAATCTCATAAGGCCAAGTTAAATTTACCCACGAGATAATAAAACTGTTGAATGCAGAAATAAACTCAATGAGAGCAAATTGATTTCAGAAAAGAAGGTTATTGGAAAATGAATCCCCCAGTTTTAGAGGTTTTTTTTTTTGGCAACCCCAAGAAGTGTTAAGCCCAAACCCAACCTTGTGTGATGTAATGACATATTTGCGATAGGTCTTTGCCCCATTCTTATCCTGCAACAGACACTCTTTGTCTTGTTGTTTACTGTTATTCTTGTGCTGTCAATCTTGTGTCATCCATCTTTTCCGCCTATTTCCTCCTCCATTTCCCGCCGATTTGTCCACATTTGCACCATTTGCGCAATTTGCCAACCAGACATTACACTTGACCGCCTTCTTTGCGGACAGAAATTGATTTATTTTTAGACGCAACTAATTTCCGTAACACCTGAGGAGGTCGGTCGGTGTTCTTTATCGAATATTTGTTACCCAAATCGATTGGACCATTGAACGGCAGTCGTCAATAAACGTACTTTCCAATAAAAAAAAGACCACGATAATTACCCAAAATTCCAAAAATATGAGAACCATATTCATATATTTATTATCTTGAACGATACTGTGACCTTAGTGTCGCCTTGCGTGCGTTGTTATCAAATATAAAGTTATGCAATGACCGCATGCAAACCCTTCAATTGTTGTTAATTATTTTAAACACCTCAAACACCAGGAGAATTGCATTTACAACTAATGATAACAGCGCATGGAGGAGGAGCTGGTAGTTACGACAGACAGTTACTGATAAGGAACTATAAGACTTTGTAGAAGCTTATTCGAGGCTCTATTTAATCAGCAGTTTCTCATTGAAACGACACGGGTTATTATATATTCATATTCGTAAACGGAGGTTGGGGTACGCTTTTCTAGTGACGTAAATCTGGGCCAGCTAAAATGATCTTTGAGCGAATATGAAACATTGAACTCACAGCTGCGCAAATATTATTTAGAGAGATTTAAAAATCTATTCAGGGGGACTTACAATTAACAAAAGGTCAGTTAAAATAGAAAAATGTATAGGAAAAACAATTATTTTAACTAGAGCACTAAAAAAGGTATTCAAAAACCGTTTAAAATCGTCCAGTTGGGAAATTAAAATAGTTTTAATATATTTATTGTAGTGAAGGGCTTACCTTTATAAAAATGCACCAAAGAGTGATTTAAACCTATTAGAGAAGACATGTTTTTGGAAATAATATTCTTATCAGTCCAAGTTTCCAAAGACATAACCTTGGGGTTGGGTTCCAAGAATCATTGTTTCACTATCTATAAAAGTTCATCGGAAACCTCAAAACGAACAGAAACTGATTTTACACAATTTTTTTTTTTTTGCTGAGCTGGAAAATTCTTTGCTTCCCCTAAAAGTAAATAAATATAAATGTAACTCATCCAAGGGGTAGCACAATTAGATAAGGAGAGTCAACTCCAGTGACAAACCCCATGCAACATGCATTCCACGAGTCCAAAAAAGAAAACTTTACTCATTTGGCTGACGAAATAATAGAAAAGCTTTGCAGCAGATGAACTTGAGGCTAAATATAAACAGATGTTAAAGATCTTAGAGCCAAACACAATATATTCCCCAGAAAATGAGAGTATCGTGTTTTGCTTACGCAGAACATGCTCGGATATGGCACCATTATCGCCTCAAAAGGAAGGGTTGGGTTTCATGATTACACAGTTAGTTAAGTTGTTTGTATTTTTCACTCATTTTTTGGAAGCACATTATTATGGTACAGTGGTAATATTTAACTAATGGGGCATTTCAATATATGTCATTAATTGGAAGGACTAAACTGATGTCGTCTGGTGTCCTTTTTTAAAAATAAACTCACAGCAACAATGTAGAAACACGTGGTTTAGGCCACAGACTGTGTGAGGGGCTCGACCGGGTGGGTTTTTGGCTAAATCCAAATTTTTACTCTCAGCACGACACTGATGCTGCTGAATAGAGATTCCGTGAGATGCCAAGAGAACCAGAGAGAACCCCTAAAGAGCAGGGATTTATGCCAGACAAATGTTGTTGCATTTCTTTAGAGAGAGTTCTGTGATTCTCACGCCTCCCACAATGAGGCATGCCATAAACAAGATTATTTATTTTCTTTTTGCAGTTTTATGTTTATCCCAAAGCATACCAACAATGTGGCATTACTTGCTCTGTACATATTTTACATTTCACATTGCTCAGAAATGTTGATTTTCAAGGTTCTCGGAATCGACTTTTAGTGATCTGTCACGTCTGACGAGAAGGTGATAATTGGTCAAGATTAAATATAGAAAAGTTCTTGAAAAACAATAATAATAATTCTTGAAAGATATTCCCTCTAATTGGCAATTTGTTTTCGAGGCAGATACATTGTAATGGTTGTCAGAATATTATAAGAAAACATTAACACCTATCATTAAGGTGATAAATGGGAAAAGAAATGATTAAATCTTAAATGTTTAAAAAATATTTAAGAGATCATTGACATAATAAAAAAATACTTTATTTTGTTATAAGTTTTTCCAGAGGCAGCCTATAAAATCTAATAACTATTATAGAAACTTGTAAACTTTAAGTTTACCAATAGTTTCACCAAATAAAAAGGCCAATAAACTATCAAGTGTGAAAAAGTAAAAGAAAAAGTAAATGGATTTCAATTGAAATGATGCAATCGTTATAGTTTTTGGCAATTTTCGCCGAAATGTCGGTGTTTCTCTCTGTATATTTGTTTAGTTTTCGATTTTGGCCGTGTCATGCTCTCGACTCACGCAATCGAAAGGAATGATAATGCCTAGACAAGCACATAACATATATACAATCGTATATACATATCTCCCGATCCATCAGAGAAACCAGTTCGTGCTGGTTTTTGGGGAAAAGCTGTGAAAACTATGGGCGATAAAAGCATACATTTGGCATGACAAACGGCTAACACTAAAAATATCGAAGCAGTAAAAACACTAACAACAAATGGCAAAAAACTAAAACAAAATACTACCAAAATGTATGCCAACATTCACTAGGTGAAGGTTCTTTCATTCTGTAGTTTGTTGCCAAAAAAAAAATATTGTGTGTGAGCATTTGGTGTTCTCTCAGAACAGCTTTTTTATTATTATTATTTATTCATTCATTGAGCGATAATGATGTTCGATGTGTACCATATCTTATCGAGGTATTGGAGTGCCATGTGTGTGATTTGTCGATGACGTTACGCTTAGATAAGGTAAACTATATGAAAGGCTTGGTCCTTCCGATTGCAGTAAATGGCTGTAAAAGCAGACTACTTAGCTTCCATTGTGGACCCTTCAGAGAGGTGGCTTATCTCCGGCAGAGAGCCTTGGCCGGGGGCAGAGGTCAGGCCAAGTCAAGTGGGGAGGTGGAGAGGTCATTCAACCGTGTAGCTATGGCGTAAATTCCGCCAAATCAGCGGCGAAACGTGGCCAAAACAAACGGCCACAAAAAGCCAAGCTATTGACATCCGAAACTGTCTACGCAGCGTCTGAGAGCGACCAAGTTGAAAGCTGATATATGCAAAGAAATTAAAAAGGAAAGAAAACAAATGTATGCACATAAATAATAATGCCATTTGTCAGTAGCGTGACATGGAAATAGTCGGAGACGCAATAGATAACCCCTAATGGGAGTTCTTAAAAGGTTATTAAGTCAGAGTACAAGTGGACTCTCTGTTCAAAGTACAGACCTCCCTCAACCTGATATCCCACATATTTATTTACTGTGTGAAAAATGGCACATGTGACTGCGATTTAACGGATTAATAATAGAACTGAAACGCAAAAAGCCAAGAATCCAATTAACCGAAATATGTCATCGTCAATACACACAGCTCACTTTGCTTTCCTCTGTTGCTGCGACTAAAAATAAAAACTCATTAGGGCGTGCAGGTTTTTAAGTGAGCGAAATTATGTTTAATTGCTTCCTCCACTCAGAAATTTGCATACAAATTGCCGAAAAATTCCAATTCATATACATAAATTAAAAGCCTTGAATTGAAAGTGAGTCGCACAAAACAATTAAAGTCGGGGAATTGAACTTTCCTATATTATATTGGAACAAATCGCGGACAATTAAATCAAATCATGAGTTGCTGTGTGCCTGTCTCCCCATCTCGTTTACTTAATAATAAAGGGGAATCTATTAGTTTGGGTCTGGAAATAACCAGATTGATTTCTAAAGTGTCGTCTGGGCCCACAATCTCAATTAAAATTCGTTATTAAATCAATTGACAGCAATCTTTTTTAGCTCTACAAGGGGGGAAGTCTTGTATTTAATGAAATAGTAATTAAGATTGCGAGATTTGGGTAAAAAATGTGAAAATATATAGCAAGTATTTGATATATCTTTAAAGAAAAACTAAAGAAAGAACTCTACTTAAAAATGTTTTCAAGAAAATGTAAAAGAAAAGAAGGAATAAATATATACAATTGTTTCTAGTTTCTTTTTCACTATTCAACTTAAAATTTTAGAATTCTAAATGCGAGAAAGTATTAATATTCCCTTTTCCTCTTCCCTGTTTCAGCTCTCTTACACTAAGGGAAACACAAAGCAGCCTACAAAATGGTTAACATTGTGGTAAGTGTTTCTTAAGCTTCAATCAAGCAATTACCTTTTATTAATTGAAATTCTTTTCTTATATTCTTTATAGGATGGCGGCGCCAAGCATGCGCCCCAGGAAATGGAACAGTTCCTGCCTGGAGATGGAAAGAAAATGTGAGTGTCTGGTCACAGTGCTAAAAATATATCCCCTAAATTGCTCTGCCGGTGTGGCATGTTTGCCAATTAACTTTACGAGTAGATTAGTATTTAGCCGTCTCGCTAATTGGCCTTTGATGCCGACGACAGCTCTAAATTGACTAAAAATGGCAGAGGAACTCTGCCTAGTTCAGATTGATTACAATTATACGTGCCATTATCAATTACACTGAAATATTTTCCAGTCTCCGATTATTATACCTTTGACTCGGCTATCACTAAGGTCAAACTAACCAGATAACTAGTAGAAGCTCTATAATCAAGTCGTCTTTTGCCTTCTAATAAGCACAAATCACGTAAGCTCAATGGAAATTCCTACCTTATAGAACGCAGTAGAAATTGATTCGAAAACCAAATCAAGTTATCAAGATATCTCAGAGGGGCGTACAAATTTTCAAAATATTTATCTGCTGACGTTTGACAAATATAGATGCATGCAAATTGGATGCTGATGATCTTTCGATGCCTTTACATGCAAATATTATTGTCAGCGGGAAATAAACAAGAAAACTGAACTAAACACAAAGCGAAAACAGTTCGTCAGAAGCGTGAAATAAATAAGTAAATCGTATGACAAATATCTAAACCTTAACACGTGTAGATCTTCCCATAATTTCCACAAGATGACTTTCATAATGCTTCGAACTTTACCCCAAGTAGAAGTCTAAAAATAATATATTTAATTTCCATTAAATGTTTTTTTATTTGTAAACTTATTTTGATGAGTTTGCATTATATAGTACTTATAGATGGAAAGCAATGAATTAACACTGATAACCTGAGGTGTTCTTGAACTGATAGGAATTCTTTTAAGTGAAAAAAATAATCGCATATTTTTCTTGATATTCTACATGTGTAATTTATATACTCTGAGCGTCGTTTATTTTTGCGGCAATTAAATTTGAGAAAGGGTTTTAAATATCAGCAATAATCAGTAGCAGTCTAGTTAGTGCTGAAAATAAATGCACTGTCATTTAAATAATATAGTAGATCCGGTATTTGTAGTAATAGGTACTTAAAAGTTATATTATACTACTGTGTTTGAATGTTAGAAATAGTTTGAGCTGTCTATAGTAATCAAAGTTGATGTATATTTATTTTTATACATAGTTCTTTTATGGGCTAGGCTATCTAAGGGATCTAAGCCTATTTAGATGTATAATATATAAAGTAATCCTGGTACTACTACCTAAATTAATTCCTAACACAGTTTTAAACATCGTTTTATGTGCACATTTTTTCAACATTAATCTCTACTCCCAGTTTTTAAGTTTTTAAAAAATAGCTAGCATACTTTGAGGAAGACTTAAAAGTAGATTTATCTTGTTTTTAAAACTTCTCCAGCATAAGGCCAGGCTGAGGTTTTCTTTTCTTTTATGGCTGATGCAACCAAACGGGCGCAGCGAGTCAGGCACTCTGGGAATATGGCTCGGAATCCATCGAGAGTCCGTCAATTGGCCAAGTCAGGCCAATCAGAGGCCGCCTTGCCAAATTCGGATCGGAAAATGCTCTGTCTGCAGCAGCAGTAGAGGTTTTTTTCGCCGACATTAAGTTACAAGTGTAGTATTTAGTATTATGAGCCGACTTCTGCAAGCCAAGACGGCCGACAGCTGTAATTGCAGATGCAGCAATTCCATGGCAAGAGAATTTCACTGTCAGCATATATAAGAAACGGTTGCAATTGGGAGCAGAGCTTTAGTTTTGCACAGACAATCGATCGGACTGAAGCCCACCAGCTTGGCAATGACAATGAGTAGTGACTTAGAACCCACCACTGTGGAGTTAAGGTGGCCATTTCAGAAACTCCAATTACCCAAGGATATTCCCTTACTAAATATGTGTACTATCTTTGATGTTTCAGGTACAAGATCCAGCCCCGCAAATCAGATGCCGAGCAGGCCTTGGCTAACAGTGATTTTGATCCGTTCGCACTGCGGGAAAATGAACATCCCACCACGTAAGTTTAATACTTCTTCAATATATATATTTCGTATAATAATCTTATATAACATTTCCTTGTTTTAGTGATAATGAAACTCTTACGCATTTGCTTAAGGCTTCTCTGGGCACTGGCATTCTGGGTATGCCATTTGCCTTTATGTGTTCTGGTATTGTCATGGGTATCTTTGCCACCATCTTCACAGCCTTCATTTGCACGCACTGCAGTTATATTTTGGTAAGTTTCAGTCAAGGTTTTCCCAAGAAAGTTCCAAAAATATGAAAAATTCTAATAAACACCTTACTCCTTGCAGGTGAAATGCGGTCACAAGCTGTATTACAGGACTCGCCGCACTAAGATGACATTTGCCGAGATTGCTGAGGCTGCTTTCCAGAAGGGACCAAAATGGTGCCGTGGTTTTGCGCCCGTTGCCAAGTTCTCCATCCTGTTTGGACTCTTCCTCACCTACTTTGGCACTTGCTCGGTGTACACCGTCATTGTGGCCTCGAACTTTGAGCAATTGATTGCCCACTGGACCGGCACGGCGATCTCTCTGCGTATGCTCATCTGTGCGATGCTGATACCCATGATCCTGATCGCATGGGTACCGAATCTCAAGTACCTGGCGCCCGTCTCCATGGTGGCCAATGTTTTCATGGGCCTGGGACTGGGCATTACGTTCTATTACCTCGTCCAGGATCTGCCACCACTGCCTGAGCGAAACTATGTGGTATGGGGAACCCTTCCTCAGTTCTTCTCGATTACCATCTTTGCGATGGAGGCCATCGGTGTGGTGATGCCGCTGGAGAACAACATGAAGACGCCGCAGAGCTTCCTTGGCATTTGCGGTGTGCTCAGCCAGGGTATGTCCGGCGTTACCCTCATCTATATGCTGCTCGGTTTCCTTGGCTATCTGCATTACGGTGCCGTCACCCAGGAGAGTATCACCCTGAATCTGCCCATCGAAGAGTGGCCCGCCCAGGCGGTGAAGCTGCTCATTTCCCTGGCCGTCTATTGCACATTTGGACTGCAGTTCTTTGTGTGCCTTGAGATCATTTGGGATGGCATCAAGGACAAGTGCAAGAAGCGTCCAACTCTGGTCAACTATGTGCTGCGCACAGTGATGGTAACAGCCGCCGTTGTGCTTGCAGTGGCTGTGCCCAAGATAGGACCCTTCATGGGATTGATTGGTGCCTTCTGCTTCTCCATTCTGGGATTGATCTTTCCGGTGAGTTAAAGTTAAATGTGTTAAAATTAGATAGATCATATTCCTCTCTTGTTTTTCTTTCTATCCTTTTAATATTCTCAACTAACTCTAAAATATTTATTCTTACCAGGTTGTCATCGAGCTGATTGTCCACTGGGAGACTGGATTCGGTAAATACAACTGGATCCTGTGGAAGAACATTCTGATCACAGCCTGCGGCATTGGAGCCCTGGTATTTGGTTCCCTGGCGGCCATCAAGGATATTGTTAAAGCCTATCAAGATCCAGCACCGGAATAAGTTGAATGCTGATTAAAATCTCTTGCACATAAGGTGCAAAACCCATAAGGATTTGAGAGAAAAGCCAAGTGCTTTACAGCCGGGAGCGTATATTTATTATATATACAACACACCAACCAACAACACACCTACTATATACTACATATATATATATATATATATAGAAAGCCGGAGGCACGAGTTTAGGAGAGAAGAGGCTCCGCTTCCTAGAAAGAAAGATCATCTAACTATTGTTAGATGTAAAACTGCGCGCCCACACATTTTGTACATTTTTTCTTGTCCGTTGCTTAGTGTCTGTTTTGAGAAACGAAAGGGATTTACTTACCTAATTCACTGATCGATCGAGTGCCTACTTCTACACTCTTAAAGACTCACCCGAAGGCACCAACAACTAAGCCGTTTTAAGCACGTTTTAAATGCACCTGCAAAATTATATAATATAGGGCATAAGCTAGTTAGGTCGAGAACTAATTATAGTACACACAGTTTCCTATTGATTTTAGTACGATTTGGTACAGAGCTAAAAAAGACTTGTACGTAGATGCACTCCCCTTTCCCTTTCTCTCTGTTCTAAAAGAGTATTACTAAAGCAAGGAACCAAAACTGAAAAAACATATTTCATGCCCCGCCTCGTCGTTTTTTTTATTTTGTTCTGTAGCTAATTGTTTTGCCTACAACATTATTTAACATTTTTAGCATGTTTAGTTGGTAAGCCTAAGTAAATAATATTGTAAAGAAGCTTTTGCAAATCAGTTCCAAATATGATGAGCTAAAATTACTCAGAGAATACAATTTTTATACGAAATCTAGCAGAGTAATAACACTAAGTTACATTGAATTGCCCCGATATTTATATGATATGTACACACATATTTTTGTATTTTAATTTTAGCCTTAAAACAATACTTAGCGAAACTATATAAACTAAAATAATAATAAACAATACGCAAGTTACCAACATTTTGTTTTGCATTTAAAATCCTGTGTAGACAACGAAACAGATTTTTATTTGTAAAATGAATTAGTAGAAGAAAGAGTTAAACGCAGAAATGTATATCTGTCAATTGTATATATGTATATTAATATGAACACAGCGAGTTCTAAGTCTATATCTGCCCAGAAAAGTATTTAGAGTTGTCCATATTATATATATTGAGAAGAACAATGATTGATATGAATGTTTACTTTTTTGAAAAATGTTTAAATTGTAAACTGCAAAAGAAAAAGATATAAATATAAAGATATAAATTGAAAAATGTCCAGAGAATGAAAAGTTTGTGACTTTTACTTTAAGAGGTTTTTTATTAACCACACTAGAAGGATTATATATGTCCTATGATCTAAGGCCTTTGATTTCTTGACTTCCTGCTTTACAGATCTTTTACAGGCATTGGTAATGTTTAAACCTATGAAAAATATATTTGTTAAACTTCCATAGCAATTAAATTTGCTAACTGCCCCTGAATGATTTGTATTGCCTTTCTGCGCCCGCGGGTTCAACGCGTGGCACTTGCTCGATTCGAATCATTTTGGAATATCCATTCCGTCCGCACAATGGCCGAAATAAAAACATGATCGAGCAACTTCAATTGCCAATGGCGCGGCGGCTGAAAAGTCATTTGTTAATTGGTCACAAGTGGGCAATGGACATGGGCTTTTGATGTTATTTTCACCAAAATAATTCGATCCGGCTGCTGGATCCCACACACAAAAAGGCAAGTTCAAGCCGAGTCGGGCAATTGAACTCGGCCATTTGGCTGTTGGCCAATTAGGTAACCTCCAATGTGGACCACGATCGAGTGAGTTTCTGTCAAATCGTGGTCGTGGTATTGGCTTGTCATCTTCTGTGACAAGATGCAAATTGGAAAGGCCTGGGAATGGCTGGGGCAGAAGAGCCATCCAAGTTATCCTTGACTTGGAGCGAGCGAGCGAGCGAAGCGAGCCCCTCCAGGAAGTTTTGGCTCTCGGCTGCTTTGGGCCAATTAGCAACCGCAACGAACCAAAGAAAAGCTGCCCAAATGTCTCGACAAAATTTTGGTTTGAACCTGCGTCCAAGGCTGGCGATGATTTAAAATAATTAATCTCTGGTCTGGGTCTGTCTCCTCAATGGACCAATGTGGCTGCATCTTGATTGAGCCAAGGTCTAAATCTTACAATCGCGTAGCAGAAGCTGACTCGCTTTATTTTTGGTTTCTTCTCGGTCTGTTCGTGGCTTGTAATTTGTAACATTAAACCATTTTCGGCGGCGATATTGCATAATCTTTCAATGCAGTTCGAATTTGTTTGTAAGTAGGCCTTTCGCTTGTGTTTGGAATATCGAATGATGATCTCTTTGTAGGCGTTCTTATCGCATTTCTCTATCTGATCATACTTTCCCCTCCGATTTTTGCATTAAACATTGCCTTTGGGTTTACATTTAACACGCTCGCCTCATATGAATTGTCAAATTTCTATGGCTCATATGCCTTTGGAATTAATAAGTATTGGTTTTTGGATACGGAAGCGTGGGAATATGTGTCTATAAGTTGAGTTTAATTGGGAGTTGGTAATATTTGGTTGATATTTGAATGAGTTTAAGAGTTTCTTTGTAGATTAGTAGTCTATTAATTTTAAAGTAGAATTAAGAAAAGTCCAGAAAGTCACATATCCAACCTACTTTCTTTATTTAATTTTTGTTTTATTTATAAATTCTGAACATGGTGTTCTTATAATAATAATTTCCTAGAATATAGAAACGTTTATTCAAGTAAAGATAAGGTATTACCTCTGCTTAATGATCTCTAATGATGCAATAACTCCCCTTAAAGGCACGTGCTTAGGAGGCTGCAAAATATATTATTATATATTATTATTACCAACTCAATTATCCTCCAAGAAAGGCGGCCTTTCAAGCATTCACCACTAGCACCACTCCACACTTTTATAATATACCTTCAAGGCCCTGGCAGCGCCAATAAACCGCATTATTTACAAAACAAAACTTTTGTGAGATGAAAAGAAAACATCATCCAAAAGAGCTCTCTTAAGCAGCAAGTCAGCAGTAAGTGACTACCAAGGAGAAAAAATTACACAAATATTTAAAAATAATAACGAAAACAATCAATGAATATGAGAAGCGTTTAGGAAAAGTGTTGACTTTTGGGGGGCGCAATCAGTAAACAACTGCAAAAATGGGCAAAAACAAAAGGTTTATGAGCTTCGAACCGAAAAGCAATCCACACCAATCCAAATCCAAGCCATTCACTTTCAACTTGAGACGAGGAAAAGGTTTGGAACAATAGCAAAAATGTTTATGTCCAAGAAACCAGCGTAATTATGTATAACAAAGATGTTTGTTGAGGAGACCTTAAAATAAAAAGGGATCTCTCCTCTGCTGTGACTTTCAAGTCAAGTAGCCGACCCGTCAGCCCCATCACCATGGACATGGTTGGACACCGGGGGCAGCAAGTTCGCCAAAAAAGATTAATTGAGGCAATTCGGGCAAAATGATTTTGTTGCCACTTCCAGTTAAAAACCGCAAATAAAACTAATACACCGCCAAGTTGGAAATATTAGGGAGATTTACTCGGAAAGAGTTTGAGTTATTTGTTTTTTCTTTTAAAGAGTTTTAGTAAAAGTTTTTACAATAAAGTACATTACATCTTAACCTTATACAAATAAAGATGTGCCAAAAATATGCTTAAAATATTGTAAGCTTAGGGAGAGATAGATTTTTAAGCTTTTTAATAAGATAAAGCGACAAATTTATATATCGAGACTATTCAACACTTTGGTTCTTAAGATTCTATATGAAAACTAAAAGTTTTTCTGTCCCTTTTTCCTCTCTAATGGAAAATATAGTATCCTTACTTGACTATATATTTGTTTTAAAGAGATATACATATATAGTTTCTTAATTAAACAAAGTAATACTAAAGAGACTTGTGCTAAATAACCTAATTCTTAAAGCTTAATGTTTTATATAAAAAGATGGTTGTAAAGGGTGTTTCTTGAATAACTTCCCACCATCATATCATCAAATTGTCCCTACATTTCGGATAGAAATCCGCCCACGAATATCATTTTAATCTCAGTGTACTTGCAGCTTAAGTAAAAGCAATGGGAAATCATTCAGGGCTCAGCGTCTTTGGGTTAAGCCTAAAATAAAACTAAAACTACTACTAACTACTCTTGCTTTTCATGATGATACATAATAGTGATGATGATGATGAAGATGATGATGAACGCCGCTCGCTGCCGGCAGTGGCAGAGGACGGGCACCCGCTATACCGCCATAGGTCTGGCGGAGATCGGCGTTGTGCATTTGCATTCATTATGTTTGGCACCGTCGACGCGTCCACAACGTAACTGCAAGATATCGGAGATCGGATCGGGGATCCACTTACCAGGTAGCTTCACGTGATCGTGTCGCTCGATCGTTCTTTCTGCTCGTCATTCATCTGTCGTCGTCTGTTGTCTTCTCGAATCTTGTGCAATTACCTGTCGAATATCGAAGAATGTCTCGCATCTGGATTTGTGTACGGAGCTCTTAACGTGTGTCTGCCGTTCCGCGAGTGCCAGTGCCTGTCGTCGATCAACTTGACCTTTTCTGTTACAGATTTTATAGCGGAAATAGTTTGAATTCCGCATTAACCATTAAATAAGAAAAAACAATAGAAACCCAGTTGAAATCATAAAATAATTAGTTGAAAATGCCATCACCCCTGGTGATCTCGCTAATCGCAGTGCTGTATCTCTGCCTCAGTCCAAGCATAATTGCCCAAGACTCTGAGCTGGCGGAACGTAACCACAAGGTGTGTACTCCATGGATGACACGTATTGTTAGGTTCATAAATAATAGTTCTGTCACAAAACCAATTTCAAGAAACGTCAAATCTATCGGGAGCAAGTCTTGCCCCATGCGGGCGGCAAGATCCCGGACACAGCCTTCGAAACGGATCGTTTGTTTCTCAATCGCCTCCAAAAGGAGGGCATCGCAGTGCCCGATGGCATAGTGCCCGAGCAGAGGAGTCCACAGGTAAATATAGAAAAGGGAAAGTCCTTTATATAGTTGTCTTACTCAATTATTATTATAATGGTAAACCTACCATTAACATGATTTATTTTGGATTTGTTAAATTAAAGATACAAGATATAATATTATTATTACAATGTAATAAAAGGAATATTTAATATAAAATTATATTCTTATCTATATACATATGTATACAAGATTTTTAGATTTTGTTATTGTGAAATTCTTATAAAATGTTGATTTTTAGGATCGGAAATGAGTACTTAAGCTTTGATTACAATTAGATTACCTTGCAGGGATATTAAAATGGGGAAGTAGTTATAAACCGGCCGGAATTTACCTACTTTGAAAGTAGTTCAAGGTTTACATTGTCTTTGGTAAAATGTTTAAAATGTACCAAATGTATTTTGATCAAATTCCATACAAGTATCATATAGGATTGATCAAAGCTTAAACATTCAAAAGCATGAATGTTTTTATTAATGTATTTATTTACCTTTATTAGTTGGCATATTAAGGACAGATCAATTAATCATTTTGTAAAGATTGTTCAACATTTGTATTGTTAGGTGTTTGTATAGGAAGTTATTATAAAAGTCGAGCAATTTAACATAAAAATAATATTAAACAAGAAAGGTTATGGAATTATGCAAAGAATCTTTTAAAATAAGACAAAACGTCTTTCTGAAATTTGTATTGGAAGTTCTTGTAAAATAATATTATATCATTAATTATTTATTTTACAGGATTGAAGCTTGTATAAATAATTTTGAAGATACATTCTAAATATTTATTGATGATATTGATTTATGTTTTAAAAAGAAGGTTAAGCCTAAGGCAGTCGATAATAATTTTTGTTAAGTTATTGGTAATTAAAAATTGTTTGTTATTTATGAATGTTCTATAATTTAAATCCGAGCATCAGAATTATTGGGTAAACAATAGTAGGAATTATAGTTTAAAAGCAGTAATAAATATTATGTTATTATACTTAGATTTTAGAACCATAATTTATGATTTTAAAACTCAAGCAAAGTGTAGATAATATAATTTGAATTTAACAATCATTTGTAATATAAATGCAATAAAAACTTGTACGTTTAATGATTTTACTGGTTTATTCTTATAGCTAAAGCCGCAATAAACGTTAAGAGTATTACCCATGCTGTCAGGACTTTATGAAGTTACAGAATAATGAAGTTATACATTTCTGAAAAATTACTACTCTAGTTTTAAATTAAATTATAAATTTAACCAATTTCCCCCACCAGGTTTATCAATACTACAGCAAACCCATGCGCACCGTCTTCCACATTGCCCTCAGCTCTGATGGCAGGTTCACGCCGCGAGAGGGGCGCTACCACTACCGCCAGGTGCCAACGGTGGAGACGACCTACCTGTATCCGCAGGCGGTGGGGCGCCAGCACGTGTTGGTGCCGCCAAAGCACGCCCTGCCCGTCTACCGACAGCTCCAGTTGCACAATCCCCTGCTTAACCAGGTCAAGTTGCAGCCCAAGAAGAGTGAGTAGCGATGGGTTGGGATGGCCACCTGGTTTTCTTCTTATCTCCCCATTCCCCCCACTTAGTGCCAAACTTTCTGGACCTGGCACCGACGGTGGGCAAGAGTCAGACAAACCCACTGGCCGGATCGGCCAAGGCGCAGTCGTATCAGAATGTGAATCTCCTGCATGGTCACAGTCCGGTGCTGCCGGCTTTCAAGAAGACCTCCCGGGGCAGCAAGACCTATGTGGACAGCTATGGCACAACCCATGTGAGTTGGGCGACTTGTTGTCGCCAGACAAACTGATGTAATAATTATTCTTTTAATTTATTTATTATTTAATTCCTTTTTTTGCACAGCTCTTCAGCGAGTTTGACGATCTGCTGAACAAACTAAACCTGCCGCAAATGGCCCGCAAGAATTATTAGTTTTTAAAGCTGTAATTGAGCGATTTTTAGTAGAATTTATGAATACACTTATGGCGCATTATGTTCATATGTAGCTTAATTTGAGGTTTACGAGTCGTAACCATTATCTAACCAACTGCATATCATTTCAAAACATTTGCCATACGCCCGCTCACCGATTAGTGCATTTTCATTTTCATTCCCATACCCATTCCCAAACTATGCAAGCCGTTACAAGCCCAGCCCATACACTGAGAGAAAGTGGAGATTCAAAAATATGTTTTTCAAATATTTCACAATTGAATTTCATGTTATTCGTAATAATTAGTTCATTATATTTAAAGAACTTTCAGATGGTTTATAGTAAAATACACTGATCAGACCTTCAACAGAAAGGGTTATTAATTGAATATTAACTTAATAATAGATAAATGTATATGCTGAAATACTTAATACTTATGAGATGAAGTATGATAGATTTATAGATTCCAAATTAAATGAAATTTGTATAATATCCCTGATTATATTGCAGTCTTTCTCAACTTAAAACTAGTACAACCTTTTAATTTTTGTACAGATTACAACCCATTTTAAATCATTTTTGCTTTCTAGATAAAGGTTATAATTAAATAATTTTCCTCTGTGTAACCGATTGCATCCACCCATCGCCTGTTAACCCATTCACGTATTATAGCATCTAAGCCCCGGTCATCGCTTTTAGCTAGTTAAGCGTAAACAATTTGTACAAGCGAGCAGAGCGAGCATCTTGCAAAATAAACCATAGCCGCCGTGGCTGCATTGTACTTTCCCACATCTGCCATAAACAATTTATATCATAATTATGTGGGGAAGAGAGGGAGCAGCAAGCTTCCAGCGTTTCGTTTCGTTTACTTTTGGCAATATAATTAAAGCAGAGCGAACGGTAATTTGCCAATTGCCAATTTTTCGTTTGGTGGAAAAAGCTTCCATCGTGAAAATCGAAACCATTTAATGATCTCTGGCAGCGGTTGGCGGTGTACCCTTGAAAGCTCTAGCGCTGGAGGAGCCGCTGCCGCACGCTCAAGTGGCCGCCACTGGAAAACTGCAGCTCAGTGTGATTTTCAAACCCAACTCGGACGGTCGTGGCTGCAACTCCAGGTTCAAACTCAACAGCAAAACTCTCCCTCCTAGATACCAGAAACCAGAGCAGGCAGGAAAATGATGCAGAAGCTGGTCTGTTTCTCTTGTTGCCTTATGATGGTGATCGGAGCCGTGGTGGCCATCGAAGTGCAGGTAAGGATCCTCGAGGTGGAACTGGAGGAGGGTCTACAATTACGCTGAGGAATCAATTAAGATGAGAGCTAGCATGCGCCACCCCAATTGACAAAGCTCTGGGTTCGTTTGTCTTGGTTTGTCTTGGCCACGTTCACTTTTGACCCAAAAATTGTAACACACAACCTGCAATTGAGGTACACACACTCATATGTGGCCATGTGTAGTTATAACATAATGAGCACTGATCCGGGGAAACTGGAGACGGAGGCCAGGTATAGGTGGTTCGAAACCAAACCGGATTGGGGCACGAGCTCTGGCTCTGCACAGAGAAAATTAATGGATTTCAAGTAAGAGAAGACTTGAGGATTTTTCAATATCTACATCAAATATGAATATAAAATAGTATCAATATAATTGATATTAAGATCCAAATAATATAAATATTCATTTAAATCGGTCACATAAGTTCGTATCAGTCTAATATTTTTACCAGAACACACTTTCTTTTAAGTGTATCTCTCTTATGCAATAGCTGTCATTTGATACAAAGTTTGTGATTTTATAGAAATTCGGATATCTGTTCAATCCACCTCAACCGGAACACACGCCCCAGCATCATGAGGAGAAGCAAGATCTGAACAAGATACCTGGAGTTCCGGGCGTGGACTATCCGGTCTACCATGAGGTGCCCCACACGCACTTCAGTTGCCACAATGTTCCCGCCACTCCCGGCATGTATGCCAATGTGGAGACGGGTTGCCAGGCGTATCATGTCTGCCACGATGGACGCGAGGGTCACCAGGGTGCCTCGTTCCTTTGCACCAATGGCACCATATTCAATCAGAAGGAGTTCGCCTGCGATTGGTGGTACAACGTCAAGTGCGAGGAGGCCACCAGCTTTTATAAGTACATTTCAGAATTCTTTAAACAAATTATATTCTTTTTAATTAATTTGGTTAATTATTTTAGTTTGAATGCCGACCCGGAGCACAATCCTTACTTTCCCAAAAAGAAGCCTGAGCTGGAGCCTCTTGGTCATGATTTTCATGATGCAAGTAAATTTCTGATACAACCCTAGATTCATTTCTATTCTAATTTTGTTGCTGTTGTTCTTCACTTTGTAAATAAAAAAAGAATAAATATAACAAGTGGATTGAAAGTTTAATTTTACACTAACAAATTTAAAATTATAAATATTTAAAATGTATGCTTTTTCTTTAAAAAACCAATGGCAATGGCGAATCTCAGACATTTTTGACAGTAAAAATACCCTGCCCTCCATGAACCTTTCAATAAGAAAACAAACATACTTTGACTGAGAAATTAAATAAAACGGTCAATTTCCTTTCACCATCTGGCAACGATTAAGGTGTGACCACCTACCGATGATCGAATATCGATGTATTGCTTTTTTTTAATTATCGATTCGCCGATGTTTTTGCAGCTCAACTCTCCCATCACTGCCGTATCAAAATAACATCAAAACTCGAACAAAATTATCTCGAAAAAAATAATAGACCATAAGGGAACAGAAAATGAATCTCTTGGACCTGCCGCAGACAGTGCTTCAGGACATTTTCGAATTGCTGTCCTACGACGAGGTGGCGAAAAAGCGCGAGGTGAGTCAGCCAGGAGAAACATCCAGTCCCCCTAAAGTCTTCGACCCGTGACTTAAACTAGACGTTTCTACCAGGTCTGCACTAGGTTTAACTACATCTGCCAGAAAGTTTTGAATGCCGGATTTAATAAAGTTATACTGGAACATGCCAAGAGCTTTAAGCGCATCAAGTCCATGCTGCCACGCCGGGAGTCCGAGCGAAGGTGAGTGTTGGAGATGTTTCTGGAGAGTTACCTGCGACTATCATAAAACCTTTTCGATTAGGAGCCACATACTTTCCCGGCACTCAGACATCCTTACCTCTATTGAGACGCGAATCTCCATGCTGACGATGACATACTCCAAGTTTATTGACCTCAACATCTGCTGCTTTATACCGGGTCGTGTCCTGGACGAGATAATCGGCATATTACGCATCCTGAGCGTATCCACCAAGCAGTTGCGCCCACATGAGGTACTTCAAGAGTTGCGTGACATTTCCTCGATGGCCATCGAACACTTTGACGAGAAGATTGCCGTGAATTTCAAACTGGAGCACCGCAAGCAACTGGCCGAGTCCACGGCGGCGGGCACTCGCCTTGTGGTATGCCGGACCCTCGGCGACATTAGCTTTAGTGGCGTCAAACGAACAGGGATCAGTCGGCCCGTCGACCATGCCATCCACCAGGCCATTGTGTCGCTCTCACCGCTCTGCGCCAACAATCAGGCGAGACCAGCGGAGAACTCCAGTTCCAGTCCGGAGCGACTGAAGAAGCACCTGATCAAGCAGCACAAGCTGCAGAAGCGGATCGTACAGCGGGTGCGTAGCCTGGAGTTTGCGCGGAAGGTGCAGGATCGTCGGCTACAAGAGGCGAACAGCACCATCACAGAACTAACCACCCAGGTGTCCGAACTGAAGCGTCAGCTAGAGGATGTGGTGGCCAATATGCCCGGCGGGGCCATTAAACGGCAGGCAGTGGCCAGCACCGACTGCCCCGCAATGAAAAAGCCCAAGGTCTAGCCAGGGATTTAGGTTATCAAATTAAGCTTAGAGAACAACTCTCGTCCTCCATCCTCCCATCAAGGCAGAATTTAGCATAAACTAGGGCCAGGTGCAGCAGCTTCGATATATCGCGTTAAGATTTATTGTTGCACTTGTTACTTAAAATGTATTATTATGACTACTTCTAAATATAAATACACATTGAACATTTAGTGAAAAAGTTCCCTCTCATTGCAGTTATTGCCTGTTGTCCTTGATCTGGATTTTGCGTCTGTATCTGTATCGCTATTTTCTCTTTTCACTTTTTTGGTTGAATCGATAGTAACTCTGGCTTTCGTTCGTTAGTTCGTTAGCTGGGCGGAGGATCCATCCCGGGTCTCCTGTTATTGTATGTGCTCTATAGGGGGGAGTGTGGTTGCGGAGGCGCAATTAATTACTTAATTACTCGTTATATCTTAGCGTACAAAAGGTAGGTAGAAATTGCAACACGTTAAGCATGGTTTCCTCTCTCTCTTAATCCGATAGCTAACTACATACACTAGGCAGGGCAGGCTCGCTCTATATTTACAACAACACAAGGGTTAATAAGGTTAATAACATTTCTCGTTGGGGGAGGGGGAAGGGGTAGGGAAGAGGGGGGTACGTACACATGGCATAACAAAAAATAAACGAAAATGGAAAACAAAATGATTGCAAAATTCCTAAAGATCTAAATAATTGTATAAACTAATCAAAGGTGAAAGCATTGCCGCGCATTGAATTGTAAACCGATCCTTAGCCTATAGATGCTTCTATTTATCATACAGTTAGTGAATGGTGTCAGTTGGTTAACTGGGAGATAAATGTTGTATAAATATATATATATATATATATATATAAATATATATATGTGCTCCTTCCTTAATACGTCACACAGATCAATCAACTCTGGTAGTCATCACTTTACATATTTCACCCAAAGATGGCGAATCACATACGTAGTATACACATCTTCCATACAATATGTACATTCATCTGCGCCTCTACCTGCGTCATCATAATCTCGCATCCCGCATCGTAAGTCCGTTGTCTTGCGCGCCGCCCCTTTTAGTAACGACGCCGACGATGCTACTTTTTCTTCACCGCCGCCTTATGGTTGATCTTCTCCTGCAGCTGACGGATCAACTGCTGTATGTCGTCCACATTGTACGCGTAGATTAGCTTGCATTGCTTGGCCTGAATGTTTCCGTTGTTGAGGTTCTTGAGCGCATGCTGCAGGCAGTAAATACTGCCCTCCTCAGTGCGCACCATCGATATGTACAGGTTGGCGCGGCACAGATCGCACTCGCTTTCTATGGACTTGTGCGGCGGCTGTTGTTGCTTCTTGGCCTTCTGTCCCTTCTCCGCCTGCACTTTCTCAGTGGATGTCACACCGGCAGCCTGGAAATATGTAAAATTAGGCAAAATGTTGCAAAAAAATACAATCAAAAAACTTACCCTAAGCTGCTCCCTGGCTGCCGATTCCTTCTCGCAGACCTCATTAAGCATGGGTAGCATTTGATGCAGGGCCTCCGAGTTTACGCGCTGATCGTAGCCCAAGGCAAAGAGCAGTTGCTCCAGTGAAAACATGGCGGGCTCACAGCTTTCATGGATGTCCTGAAAAACGTATAAACGTGATTAGAAATAAGATTACTCTATAAGGGATGCAAGGATTCACTCACCCTGAAATCATCCTTGGCCAGATCCAGCCACGACATGGTGGCAAAGTAGACGCTCTCAGAAACCACATATCCAGTGGCTAGGCTGGAGGTGTAGGCCCTGGGGAAGACCACAATGAACTCGCCCGGCTTCTGCTCGATGCGGCACAGCGACACGCCACGATCGGTGAGCATATGCGGTGGCACCATGACCGTATCACAGGGCAGCCAGATGGTCTTGTTCTGGCAATGCGTCGGAATCAGCGACGTCAAAGCCGATCTAAAGTTTGCACTCTGATCATCGGGAATGCCGTACCACAGCTTTGAGGCGCCCGTGTGCAGATACTCGATCCAGGACAGTCCATGGGGATCCCGGTACCAGCAGCAGGCGGAGAATAGCATGCCGACGTGGAGTGTGGGCACGGTAACACCCATAACTGGGCCCAGGGAGCGCAGCACAGAGCCAGCATTATTGGTTAGCACTTTCAGGTTCCACGGATGCTTGGCATAGTTGGAGCCCTTGCCTTTGGGACCTGGGCTAGGAAAGCCATAGCCCCAACCGGAGCTGTCAATGGAGCCCGAGTGGACGCACACATGGCTATCGCGAACTGCGACATGACGCCAGAACTCAGCCTCCACTTCGTTGACTGTGGGATCGGTGCTCTTGAACCACAACGCCATTGTATTACGGGCTATTCTATAGAACTGGCTGAGGGGCATGCTCCGACCCTTGACTATACACTCCATGGACACGCCATCGATCTCCTCCTCGGACTCCTCATCCTCGTCGCTGCTCACATCGTCCTCCTCGTTGGACACGCTCTCCGTGTTCACGAATCGATCCGCATTCCGACGTGCCCTTGCCTCCCGCTTGGCCCAATCGGCTTCGACCTCGTCAAAGAGCTTCTGGCGCTCCGCCGGCGATAGCGTGTCGTATGGCAGCAGGTACTTGCAGTAGATATCATCCAGCTTGGTCACCCGATCTTGGGCCAGCTTGGGTATGCACATTTCCTCCGCCACTCGCGACCACTTCTTCTTCTCGATCACCTCCTTGAGACCGCCTAACTCCTGGACCGTATGATATAGCCGCGGTAGGTCCACCTCCATGCCACCGATCCACGGAGGATGATTCATCACAATGCTCTGGGTTGCCAAATACTTCTTGATCGCACTCAGCTCCTTGGCACTGGGCCCCCAGCGGTGGAGCATCTTGTGCACATACTGATTATAAGCCGTGAATCGCATCTCGTCCGAGATCCGGCACTCTGGTTTAAAGCTCGCCGGCGGAATGATCTTGCAGATGCCAAACCTGGCTGCAATCGGTGTGATCCTTTCAATAAACTCAATGGGATCGGCGAACTCCTTTTCCGTGGGCCGGAAGATGGGTGCCTCCACCATTTGGGTGGGATCGTCGTGGCGCGGAAAGGCTGTATTATTGGCCATCTTGATGGGTGTGTCATCCTTGTACTTCTTGGCTACGGCCGCCGCTGTGCTACTCGTCTGGGCGGCTGTCCTCGACTTGGCCGAACCAGAGAAGAGCGACGAGTTGGAGTTAACACGCACCAAGCTGGAGGACGCTGCTCCTGGACCAGTAGTTGTACCTGTGCCAGTGCCAGTTGCCGCTCCCGTTCCCGCTGCTGCCGAAGTGCTTGCCTTGGGCGTGCTCTTCAGGCTGGTTGTGGTCGTAGCGGAGGCTGCATCATTGCTGGCCGCATGAAGGAGTGTCTTTACCAGCTCGTTGGTATTCAGCGACTCGGGCAGCGGTTTCGAATTGGTGTCCATCTGGGCCTTGGTCACCAGCGTGGCCTGCATCACCACCTTCTGGTTGGGACCATCGGGTCCTTCGCGTCCCAGCTTGACTGCTACACCTTGGATGCCGCCATCTCCACTACCGCCTACGCCTGCTCCCTGAAGCGGTATGTAGAAGGTGGCTCCCTCGGCATCCGAGTCCCCGCTGGCTTCTACAGGTGCTGCGGCTGGGGCTACTGCTGGAGTAGGAGCAGGTGGAGCAACCTGCTGTTGTTGCGCCTTCTTAGCACCCCTTCCTGTCGTGGCCTTCGGCTTACCCTCGATCTTACAGTTCTCCGTGGGACTCAGGGTCAATTGGACTGCTGTGGCTGCCGCCGCCGCTGCTGCTCGTTTCTTGGTCGGCGATCGCTCACTCAGCGCATTGGGCACGGCAGCTGGAGCAGGAGGTACGAGACTGGGATCCGCACGCCGACGATTGCTGCCCGGCTTGTTGCTGGTCACCTCCTCCTCCTTGCTAAAGGCGTAGACAGATTCTTTCTTGGCGCCCGCTGCAGTGGTGAGATTAGCTGTTGGCTTTGCTTCCACCTGTTGCTGCGCTTGCTGCTGTTGTGCCCTGCTACCCTTTTGGTTGTAGACCGGCGTTCGTTTCGGATTCGGCGGAGTTGGTGTCGCGGGCGGCGGTGAAGGCATTGCAGCTGCTCCAGTTCCTGCCACGGCATTCCTCTTGCCCTTCTCCGCTTTCTGCTTGGTTACTGGCGGCGGTGTGGGACTGCTCTTGGCTGAGGCCAGAGGTATGGGAGTGGGCGTCGAAATGGGAGTGGGAGGCGTGGCGGCGGCACTGCGTGACTGCTGTCCAGCCGTCTTGGCTGTCAAGGATGCCTTGGCCGACTCCTTGGACTTTCGCTCATTGATCTTCTTGTCGGCGGTGACCGTAAGTGTCTCATTGGCGGTCAGCTTCTGTGTGAGATTCACTGGCGTGGAGGACTTGTCGTAGTCCAAGGCGTCGCAGCAATCCTTGGCCGCCTCTGCCTGTTCCAACTGCTCCTTGCGGCTGGGTGGAGTGACCAGCACGGGCGTGGCCTTCAGTGAGGGTCCCTTGGCTGACCAGGCGCTCTCGCTCTTGCCGAGATCGCCCCGCGTGTTCTTCGATGAGGAACTGAAGCTGGCACTCAGTTCCTTGTCATCCCTTGTGGGCGGCGGTGTTGTGGATTGCTGCGGGCGCAGACTATCATCGAAATCATCGTCCAAATCGTCCTGAATCTCATCCGGATTGGATGAGCACTCGATAAGCCACTTCTGGATTTGCTCATGGGTCATATTCACCTTCGCCTTGCGACGCTCCTTGCTGGACAACTGGTCACCAAAATAACCCTCCGTGGGCACTACTGGTCCGAGCACCGGCTTGTGAATGGACCCGCACTTGCCCAGGGTACACTTGGTGTTGTCCGGCCCCGAACTCTGGGCCAAACTCACGCTGGCAATGCCAAAGATCTTTCCAGATTCCTCCTTGCTAGGCATGAGGGTGGCCTGAGCCAGGATGCTCCCAATCTCATCCTTTAGGGGATCGGAATTAGCGGCGGCAGCACCTCCACCAGCTCCTGCGTTATTGCTGTGCGCTGGTGGTGGCGTCGCTGTGGCCATTGTTGTGGTTCCTCCAGTCACTACTGCTGCTGCCGCCTGTGCAGCCGCTTGTTGTGCCGCCGCTGCTGACGTAGATGCCACGGCCATTGGTGCTGCATTCACGGTGGCCGCTATGCTCGTGCTCAGATTCAAGCTGGACGTCTGAATCATCACTTGACTAACCGGCGGTGATGGCGGAGGCGGAGCCAAGGGGCTCTTAGTGTTGGCGATAGACGACGGTGTGCCCACCGTGGTTGTTGTGGTGACCGTTGTGCTTGATGTGGGCATAAACTTCACTGGCGAAGGGCTGGGAAAGCTGTTGCTGGCCGACGAACGCGGTGGCGGCAATGGACTTCGCTCGTATTTGGGCGTAAGAAAGTTAGGATTGATCTTGGGACACTGATACGCCTCGATGGGCGGCGGATATGTGGTTGGCGGCGTCTGATATTTCAGCGGGGACGAGGAAGTTGTGCCCTGCGATGGAGTTTTACTCCCAGACGGTGCCCCGCCGACGCCGCCGCCGCCGAACTGATGTGTTGGCGTGGGCGGCGGACGGACATATCCGGAATGGTAATGAGGCGATGCTTGCGGCAGGTACGAGGAGGTTTTCTGGAAACCGCCTACCGTTCCGCTCCCACTGGCACTCCCAGGCAGCGCATAGGTGGCGGGTACATTAAGGATCTTTGACGTGGGCACCGGCGGCTTCTTCTCCATGGCTTTAACCGGCGAATAACTAGCATGCATGCCCGGGAACATGGTGGGCATAGGGCCGCCCAGAGTTGGCGTGGCCTTTGCCGTCAGCGGCAGCATAGTCAGCTGGGTGGTGGGAGTGCTGGTGGTAGCCTGCGGGGTTGTGGGCACCGTCAACAGAGGTGGTGTGGCGGCAGCAGAGAATACTGGAGCAGGAGCCGAGATGGTGGGCGATGGCGTAGCTACAACCTTTGGGGGCTGTGGACTGAGCACCTTTGCGGGCGCTGCTTCCTCCTTTTCCTTGACCAACGACGTCGCCACCATCACGGATGGCACTTTTATGGCCAGCGGTTCGTCGTCCGAGTCACTGAAACTCTTCTCCAGCTTGCGCTTTGTTTCGTTCAGCTCCTCGTTGATGAGAAAGTCCTCCTCCTCGTCGGAGTCGACTTTCGAATGTTCGGACTTGGCTTTGGGCTTGGCCTGCTCGGATATCTTGGCTAGGGAGCCCTTCTTCACCAGCATGCCTTCGATGGGCGGCTTTGGAGGCGGTGGCGGTGCCGCTGCACCGCCAGATGTCTTTCCCTGCTTGGGTGGACGTCCACGTCGTGCTGGGGGCGGTGGCTTCTCTTCCTCGGCTTCTGGAGGGGAGGGGGACTCGTCCTTACTGACTGCTCGTGGGGCTGATGCGCCTGCTGACGAATCCTTGGGTCGGGGTGACGGCTTACGGGTAGATTTGCCTGCCGGAAGCACCGTCGTGGCCTCCGGCACGCTTAACTTTCCCGCCGCATTGCGCTTGATCTCGTTCTCCATCTTTTCCATCTCCTTAACATTGGGTATGTCCGGGAAGCTGCTCAGCGACAGGTCGTCCTCCTCGTCGTCGGCTAGCTGCAGTTTGTGGCCAATGATACCCATGTAGATGGCAGCTGCCTCCTTGGTTTTGCGGGAAGGGCGTTGAGATCGCTGAGGCTCTGTTTCTGCGGAATCCTCCGAGGCCTTGCCTTTCGCCGACTTCCGAGATCCACGAACATTAGGCGTGGCCTTCTTGGACAAAGGGGGCGCTAGTTCCTGTTCATCGGCTGGTGGGTCCTCAGCTTTCTTTTTGCCTGCCTTGCCCCGTTTTCCTCCACTCGGCGGTTCCTCCACTTTGATTTCGGGAATAGGTTCCTTTTCCTTCTCCTTTTTTTCCTTCTCGAGCTCTTTTTCCCGCCTTTCCTTCTCCTTAGCCCTTTCCTTTTCCTTCTCCAAATTTTCCCTTTCCTTCTCCAGCTTTTCCTTTTCTAGCTTTTTAGCGATCGCCTTACGATTCCTGACCGCGGGAGCAGCTGCAGCAGCTCCTCCCTTCTTGGGACTCGCACCCTTGCCACCTTTTTTTAGCTTAATGGACTTGGCCAGCGGCTGTTCGTCATCTGAGCTAAAATCAAAGACATTCAAGCTTTTCTTTCCCTTGGCTCCCGCACCATGTTGACTGTCTCCGTTCTCCAGCTGCTGCTTGGCGTCTTTGGCATAAATAATAGAATTCGTCTTCTCCTTGGTGGCTTCCTTTGCCTTCTTGATGGGCTCTGGTTCGTTTTCCGACTTTTCCGGTGATTCGGCGTCTTCCTTAGGCGGCTCCGGTGTCGCAGTCTCCTCTTGATGCGGCGGAACCTTGACGGGCTCGAAAAAAGCCCGCTGTCTTGTCATCCGGCCCGAGGATTCGGGTGAGGGTATAAAAATAGGAGATTCCCTTTGACGTACACGCTTCACGGGCGCCTTGTCCTTCTGAACCGATTGTTGGGCTTCAGAGGGGAGAGCTGGAGGCTCCGCTGGTTTCTTACCAGCCGATGGACGTCCTCGTCTAGCTTTCTCCTCCGCTTTCACAGGACTTTCGGCCTTCACCTCCGCTTCACCATTGCGAGATGTTGCATCGTGGGCGGAGAAGAACTCGTCGTCATCATCATCGACCGCATCGTTTCTGTTCTGATCCTCTTCCTCGTCCTCCTCCGATTCGTTATCATTTTCTATGACGGATTTGCTCTCCTTGGTGCTAGCACGATTCGAGCGCCGTTTGTTATCGTTGGAGGTGGCGACTACTCCTGTACTAGTGGTGCTGCCAGTTACAGCTGCTGCCCTCCCTCTTCCACCGCGTCGATTGCCATCGGTGACGATCTCCGCTCTTTTCCGGACAGCACCTGGCAGCACAGGGGGAGCAGGAGTTGGAGCAGGCGTTGGGGTTGGCGAAGGAGCTGCAGACTGTTTGACTGCAATGAGATTGGATTTATCACTGACTGCTTTGTCTGCCGTAGAGGGGGACTTCTCGGTGGACGTCGTCGTGTCCGCCTCCGCTGCTTTCTTTCCGCCCGCTGATTTGGCGGGTCGACCACGCTTTTTCTTGCCACCAGCACCCATTCCCGTCTGTTGTCGACTGTTGTTGGTGACCTTTTTGGCATTGTTATTATTGTTGGCTTGACCTCCGGCTGCGTTACTGCCAGACTCCTTGGCCGCGTCCTTAGACTTGCCCTGATTGAGGTAGTCCAAGTGCGCAGGCAGCGCTGGAGTGCCGCGAAAGCAGAGAAAGGTGAGGAAATCCTGAGCCTTGGGGCACTTGTTTGGCAGGATCTCGATCGGCGGCTGCGAGCTATCCACTCCTGAGGTGCTTGGGCCGGATCCAGTGCCAGGTCCTGCTGCCGCTGCTGTACTGTAAGCGGCAATACTTGAGGAGCTGCTGGTTGGAGCACTCTGGCCCTGGGCAAACTTTCGTTGAGCCTGCACCTTCGTTCTGCAAGGGAATGGTGGTAAAAGAAAAGGGCAGTGTGAGTGAATTATAATTGGAAACATTGCAACTTGATAGAAATTAGAGAAGAGTCAATATCAATTTCAGCCCTCAATCATGACAATAACAAAGCATTGAGTTATGTATGCAATTACCCCGTGAACCCAACATAAACAGTGGCCTTTGGCTGAGCAAATTGGGGATAATATACATTTTGTTATAACTTAATTGGAATATGAATTAGTAAAAAGCCAAAAGATGGTACAATCAGTGTTTAAAAGGATCTAGTTCTAAGGGAACTATACTTATATCAGAAATAATATGAATATTTGAATATGAACCTTAAAAGGTTGTCTCACAAAAACCGTTTAAAAATTACGTATTTAACACAATTTTGAACATTATTAAGCTTTTTAAATTAAATATCAATATTGTCGTTCAAATAAACATGTTTACCTCTTCAACATAGTCATTATTAAGAAGGAAAAAGGCATTAAAAAATAATAATTTAGTTTGGCGTAATTTTTATTATTAAAGCCGAAAAACTATTTATATATTCCTTCTCCTGGTGATAAAATTAATTAGAATTCAACTGACGATGTTCAATGTTCCCTTTTGGGTTATTTATGGCCAGACAGACGCTGCTAATTAACTGTGTCGAATATTCAGCTTAGTGACTAACCACTGTACATACATATTCCCCACATATTCCACCTGCGTTGAGGGGGAGGGGGTAGATACCCCCTGCCCCCCACCGCAGAGGCTGATGCGAAACACCCCCTTTGAGCGCGTTACAAGCGAAGGGCAATGCGATGGAAACAACAACGCCACGACACGATGTTGACGCTCTCTGTAGCTTATACAATTGCGTCCAGTGCCCCCTTCTCTCCAGCAATTACTCCCCCACCCACACACACACACAGTGCTCCGTTACTTGACGCTGCGACGTCATCTGCCACACACTCACTCCTATGTCACTTAAAAGCGAACCTATGGATTACTCCATGACACTGGCTCTCTCACCTCTTGGGCATTTCAGGTGACGACTCAATGGCCGGAGTCGCCGTTCCGGCCGCCGTCGGAGTGGCCACCGTTGGCGCAGGAGGCGGCGGCGGGGGCGGTGGGGTCTCCGTCTCCTTGCGGCGACGCTTGTTGTCTTTGGAGACAACCATTTTGTGTTGCGAATTTTTCGCGCCTCTTTCTCGCGCGCTCTCTCGGACTTTGAATAAATTTGGGTGCGATTGCGGATGCGGCGGGGCCGATATCCTTATTCTATATTTCACGGCGGCTGATCCGTATCTCCGCCGTACTCCCCGTATTATGTACGGATGGGATTTGCATATATATATATGTATATCTACAACAAACACGGATTTTGTTGCTGCCTCTGCTGCAGCAGGCAATTTTCGTATTTTCGCTTCATATTTTCGCAACTTTAAGGGGCGGGGCGCAGGCGAAATAATCACTAAAATGCGTATTATTGTCTCGATGGTGCGTTGCACTCTCCACGTTCACATTTCACACACGGCAGTTGTTGCAAATTTCATTTTCTTTCGCGAGATTTGCTTGCACATATTTTTTTCGTCTGCTTCTTCTTCCACAGCTTTGTGTCATGGCGGACGTCTGCGTTGCCAGACCGTGGCCAGATGTTAGGCCAGCCCTGGTAGCATCTGGCAGCACAGTGTCTCTGCGATAGATCGATATTTTTAACAATCGATTGTATCGGAAATGCCAGTACTAGCCCTGTGAGTTGACAAAAATTTTGACAGAACGAAGAAAAGCTTAATTTTTTGTGTTTAGATCTACACTAGCCGGAAGAAAATAAACGAACCAAAAGCAAAATGGGCGACGGTGCTGGCAATTGGTGTCTTATTGAGTCCGATCCGGGCGTGTTCACGGAGCTTATTCGCGAGTTTGGTAGGTAAATCGCGCGCTTTCCAAAGCGACGCCGGCAAGAAAAGCATAGTAATTAAAAACTGCATTTCCAATGCGTGCAGGTTGTGATGGCGCTCAGGTGGAGGAGATCTGGAGCTTGGACAGCGAGTCGTTTAAGAATTTGGAGCCGATCCACGGCCTGATCTTCCTGTTTAAATGGGTGCAGGAGGACGAGCCCGCCGGCAAGGTTGTGCTGGATCGCGACCACATCTTCTTTGCCAAGCAGGTGATCAACAATGCTTGCGCTACGCAAGCCATCTTGAGTCTGCTGATGAACCTGGAGCACGAGGACATTAAGCTGGGCGAGACGCTGACCAACTTCAAGGAGTTCTGCCAGTGCTTCGATCCCTACAACAAGGGCCTCACGCTTAGCAACGCCAGTCAAATACGAACCGTGCACAACTCCTTCGCCCGCCAGACGCTCTTCGAACTGGACATGAAGAACCAGAACAAGGACGAGGATGTCTTCCACTTTGTTGGTTACATGCCCATTGGTGGCCGTCTCTACGAGCTGGACGGCCTACGCGAAGGCCCCATAGATCTGGGCGAGATCCGGCCGGAGCAGAACTGGATTGATGTGGTCCGCCCGATTATTGAGAAGCGCATGCAGCACTATAGCGACGGCGAGATACACTTTAACCTGATGGCCCTCATCTCGGACAGACAGCGCATTTACGAACAGCAGATCGATAAGCTGCTCAATCCGGCTCCCAATGCCATGGACACGGAGGAGGATCGCCAGACGGAGATAAACAGCCTGCGTACCTACATCCAGTACGAGATCCAGAAGAAGAAGCGCTACAAGGTGGAGAACGTGCGGCGCAAGCACAACTACTTGCCGTTCATCGTTGAGCTCCTGAAGATGCTGGGCGAAACTGGGCAGCTGATGCCCATCTACGAGAAGGCCAAGCAGCGGGCGCTGGACCGCGAACAGGCTCAGCGCAAGAAGGAGTCCAACTAGAAAATGAACAGCATTTACAGTATCCGTATCTGGGGTTGGTGAGAAAAGCACGATCACAGATTGAATCGAGGAGCGAGGAACGAGAAGCAATCAACCATTGCTGGTTACTAGTTAGGTGTTCACTGCCTTGTACTGTACTTTAGTTTTTTATACACACTTCCCGCTCTCTCTCACTCTTTCTGCGCCAGTTAAGCCGTACTCTAATACGCGTGTTAAGCTAAATTTATATACAATGGCGCCACAGAGATCGTCAAGCATTTCAAATTCATTTAAGAAATGTGTCTTAAAGCATGTAATCAAATATTTTAACATTTCCTACCATATTTTTGGACCGCATTTAAAGTTATTTCAAATCGCAAGAGATTTCTGTGGCTTCCCTCATAATTAAATACCTTAATAGTGAAAAATTTAAATATAAAATCGAAAATAAAAACCAGCAACCATTTTGGTGTAACGTAAAGAAAATTAATGGAGTGGTTTGCTCGTATAGAATATATTTTTGGTATATATATCATTTACAATTGCTATGTTTGCTTTTGGTATTTCTGCCTTTGATTTGCGTATAATCCACTTTGAATTTGATGCTGCTTCTTGTTGTATATAATATGTTGTTGTTGTATATTGTATATAGGAATATTTAGTTTTGTTAATCGCCCGCTCCAGTTCTATGCTAAAAATTTGTCTCCACTTACGAACTATAGACTCTACTAGTTATATACTTTTGTTAGGGAACTTTCTTTGGGAGGTCGTCTTTGATTTAGATTTCTCTGAATTTTTGTTTGGTGTTTCATTTGCTATTCTTTTTCTTGTTCTCACTTAGATCTAGAGGCTAATCCAGCTAATGCGGTCTGGGGGCATGGTATACGGGGGACATATGGCTGGAAACCGAAGCTATATATGTTATATTTTAGTTCTGGCCAAAGTTTTGGCCCTGTGGAAGTGTATGTGCTGCACCCTATGCGCTATGGCAACTACAGAAATATATATATTTATGTATTTATCAGTTGAACCACGGAACTGGCTGTGGATTTTGAAATCAATCGGAAATCGTGTTGGAAAGTATGCTACAGTAAATGTGGGATATACAAATAATTCTTTGCAAACTTCGAGACATTGCTTTTCAAAACCATAGCCATTTCTGTGGCACCCCTGTACGGTGTATATAATATACTTGTATATGTATGTTGTATATTGTTATTCTGGGCCTAAACTAATCTTGTCTCTCCTGCCTGCCTACCGGCTGTTGCGTGTGTTAATTTCTGGGTTGGCTTAATTGAATTTCATTCGATTAGAGTTTAATTTTGTTAACATTTAGGCTAATTTTACTAGTGTCTCTGGTATTACGTTCTGCCACTTTAATTTAGCACTTAGTTTTCAATGGTTTCTCGCTTAACAATTCTTTGTTTTTTTTTTCATTATTTTGAAGACACAACAGTTACTGGTCCAGTTCCAGGAAGAAGTATGTATGTATATGTATATGTGTGCGATCTGATCATCTATTGCGGATTCCAGGATACAAGTCCTTCCTGCGGCCACTCTTTTACCGAGGTCCTGTGGCGGCTGCGTAACTGTACTGCAAGCCCGTGTGCGTCAATTCGTTGCATACTTCGCTGCGCTGCGTCGCCACATTCAAAGCAGCGAATGCGTGATGGGGACGTGGCGTGGCCAAGTGTGCTTGTGGATTATGCTGGCCCTGTGCCGCTTCATAGGCGGTTAGGTCAATGCTGGGAGCTGAAAGAGATCAGGTGTATTAGTTTACTATAGTTTTAGTAAAACCTCTGTAGCAGTGGGAATCTTTATCCTTACCAGCTGCATGCATGCGATTGTATAGATTTTTGCGTTTCTTCTTCAACAGATTATCCAGATTATAGCCCTCCATGCTAGCTCTATAAAGAAAAGACATAAATATATCAAGATCTGGACAAGCCATAGGAGTAACTCACTTCTCCGGCCTGCCGTTGCCCAGCAGCTCCTTAAAAGCAACGTATATTTTGTTTAGCGTCAGATTGGATAGCCCCTGGCCCAGATATCGTACAAATTTAAGTTGTTCACATTTGGATAAAGCGCTCTCGTGGAAGTCCAAAAAGGGTCGATGATCGGATATCTGATATTCCTGTTTCAGTAATTTATATAAACAAAAATGAAGAGAAATGAGGAATAGAAGAATGGAAAATACATTAGGATCGCTCGAGTTTAAAGACTGGGGCAAGAGTCTTGTTCAATGATCTCTGATTTAAAGGATGAGGATGCAATTTTGAATAGTCAATGGATGCCAATCTGTCTGTCTCTCGATCGCCAATTGGGTGGGTGGCCAAAGAACAAAGCTCCGCTTGACTACAGTGGGTCGTGATCCTCCTTCACAGCTCTCTTTCTATATTTCTGCTCCTTCGATACACTTTTGCTCACATTGCAAAACTTGATGAAGTTTTCGATGAGTATGTACTTTTCATAATTGCTCAGACATTGCTGGCTACTACTCTGTATACCGAACTGTTTCAATAGCTCCTGCTTCTTGGGCGGCAGGCGGCTAATGTGTGTGCAAACCCCGTCCTCAATCCGATGTGTCTCGTGCACGTCAAAGTTCTCGTAGATGATCATCTGCTCCAAGGATCGTGGCGGTGGTCCCAATGCCGGCATTGGCAACGGCGGTGGCAGCAACGGCGCTGGTGCTCCGCAACCGTACCGTGGATCCATGGCCGCCATCTGATGTTGCTGATGCTGATGCGGATGCGAATGTTGCTGCTGCTGCTGTGCAGGCGGAGCTGTCACATAGCCTGGGGGCATTGTCACAGGATTAGGATTGATGCCCGGAACGATGTTGCTGCTGCTGGCAATGCCGCCACCACCGCTGCTGCTGCTGTTGCTATTGCTTGTGTTGCTGTTGCTGCTGCTGCTACTGTTGCCGCCACTGGAGGCAAATTCCAGGGAGCCGTCGTTGGCGGCGGCCATGTTCTTGAGGTCTACAAGAGAGAATCGTAATGCCAGGAGGATACTCAGCAAGCTGCCATATACTCCAAAGATCTTTGCAAAATCGCCTTTCATTTTACGTTTGATTTTTAGAAAGGGGAGAACTTTTAATAAGGAACTATTTAAAACCTTTAAATAAAATCTTAAAACAAAATTTTAGTTCTTTAAGAATATATACAACTAATAATAAGTATATTTTTGAATAACTTAAATAATTCCCTCACGATTTTAACCATTTGTATACCCTTGCAGGATATGGTAATTTAAGTCATTCTGGATCATATAAACGTATCGATTTATATCGATTCAAAAATGTATTTATTAAAATTGAAAGGATATATGAACTCCGGCAAAATCGATTTAAATTTGTAAAAAGCTGAAAATCAAAGGCACAGCACTATTCCAGATCCAGATACATATACCCAAGCACAAGGTGAGGAAAAAGTTATTACCAATCATATGACAATTGCTTTTTTCAATTGGAAAACCAAACCATTAATTAATTGAACTTGAACTTAGCGCAAATGCAGAGGCACGACGACGCAGGCAATAAAAAAATTTCAAATCGATTCGATTTTCTCTCAATCTAGTTTTTTTGTATATATTTTCTGGGTTCGCAAACAATTTCCATATATATTGTATGTTGTGTGTTTTTAGTTAGGATTGGTTTTACATATAACATACATATCATTTTGTTCTTGGCTTACTAAAATATATATTTATATATATATTTATTATATTATTACCATAATATTAAATAGCATTTAGTATGATTTTCTATACTCGTGTTTGTGTAAAAGTGTGATGTGTTTGGTTGTGTAATGTGTTCAAGTGTGTGTTGCGTTGTGTAAAATGTAATAATCTCTTTTTAAGGAATAACATTGCATAGTTTTGGGGGTTTCAATAATGATCGATCGTTGTCCAACAATTTCTGATATTGTCGTCCAAACGTAATACAAAAAATTTGCATATAGTTTTATAAAAATTTGGCAAAAAGCTTGTTTTGTGTAAAATTAGTCTAAAATAAACGAAACGTTAACTAAAACGAAGACGAGTACACATAAACATAGTATTTGACGATGCACATCAACGGGACAAACTAATCTAGGACACAGGATGGGTAAGAGGACGATGGGGTGCTGCCGAATCCAGAATCCTTTATCCCGAATCCTTGCCAACAGCCTACGCGTGGAGAAGGAGTGTCAACAGGTGGCGCCGCCGCCTCCGCCGCTTTCCTTGGCGCCACGCCGACCCCAATTTCACATGGTTCCTCCTCCGCCAGGGCCGCCGCCTCCTACGGATCCAGCTGCAGCACCACCTGCTGCTGCTGCTGCTGCTGCTGCTGCTGCTCCTCCTCCTCCTGCCTGTTGCTGCTGCTGGGACAGAGATGGCGCTGCTCCAGGATAACCCATGGCCGCCATATGCTGGACATGCGCGTGCGGATGTGGATGCGGCGAGTGCGGATAATAGTGCGGATGATGCTGCTGCTGGGGATGCTGCGCCTGATGAGGGTGCCCGTGGGCCGAGGCATAGGCAGCAAAGTGATGGGCATGCGGATGACCATGGTGTTGCGGCGCCTGATGGTGCGGATGATGCGGGGGATAATGGTGCGGATGGGGTGGCAGCTGGGGATGTTGCTGCTGTGGCACCATTGCTGGACTGCGTGTAGGCGTGCCGGGTTGCATTAGGTGCGAATGAGGATGGGGATGCGTGTGCGGATGTGGAAGCGAATGCGAATGCTGGGCATGCGGATGCGAATGAGGATGCGGGTGCATGTGCGGATGTTGCAGCATATGCTGTTGGTGTTGCTGCTGCTGTTGTTGCAGGTGCTGCTGCTGTGGCGTTGTGGGAGTTACAGCGCGTGCTGCTCCTGTTCCTCCAGCTCCCTGCATCGTGGGCGTGGCAGGCCTTGTGCGTGGCGTTGCCTGTGTGGGCGTGACGGCTCCTGCTCCCGCTCCTAGTGCTCCTACTCCTCCGGCTGTGGCTGCTTTCGGTGTGGCAGGTGAATTGGGTGCCAGCAGCTCCTGCTCGGATTGCTGATGCTGCTGTTGTTGAGGTGTCTGTTTGACCGGTGTAGATGGTGTTGTTGTTGTGGTGGTGTTGTTGGTCTTGTTACTGGTGTTGTTGGTGGTGATGTTGTTGCTGTTGTTAACATTGTCGCCTATAGTGATTGAAAGCGTATGCGTGGAAAAAGAAGAAGAGGAAACAAACAAACAAATTGAAGTCAAAAATTAAAATTGTTTTGTTCTTAGGGTTCTTTGATTTGGTGAATTATTTTGACAAAAATTTCGCAAAAATAGGCAGGCCAAATTGTAGTTCTCTTTTCGATATTTTCGCTTCATAAAACACAACTAAAAAGTACAGAAACAAGTGCACGAAACATAGAAATAGAAATGAGAAGTGCAAAAGTGGCAAGGAGAAATCATAAAAATGAATGTAAGCACTTCTTCTGGTTTCGAG